GGTAGGCCCTGAAAAAAATACTCTTTAAAAAATCCACTCATGTGGTAGGTCCTGAAAAATACTCTTTAAAAGATACACGCCTTATATAGGCCCTGAAAAAATCCACGCCTTATAAAGGCCTCGAAAAAATATTCTTTAAAAAAATTCTCGCCTTGTGTTGGCCTTGAAATAATCTTCTTTAAAAAATCCACGCCTTGTGTTGGTCCCTGAAAAAATCTTCTTTAAAAAAATCCACGCCTTGTGTTGGTCCCTGAAAAAATCTTCTTTAAAAAATCCACGCCTTGTGTTGGTCCCTGAAAAAATCTTCTTTAAAAAAATCCACGCCTGTGGTAGGCCCTGAAAAAATCTTCTTTAAAAAATCCACGCCTTGTGTTGGTCCCTGAAAAAATCTTCTTTAAAAAATCCACGCCTTGTGTTGGTCCCTGAAAAAATATTCTTTAAGAAGTCCACGCCTGTGGTAAGCCCTGAAAAAATCTTCTTTAAAAAATCCACGCCTTGTGTTGGTCCCTGAAAAAATCTTCTTTAAAAAATCCACGCCTTGTGTTGGTCCCTGAAAAAATCTTCTTTAAAAAATCCACGCCTTGTGTTGGTCCCTAAAAAAATCTTCTTTAAAAAAACCACCCTGAGGAAAAATTCTTTAAGAAGTCCGCGTCTTGTAAGGACCCTGACAAAATTGTCTTTAAGAAGTCCGCGTCTTGTAAGGACCCTGACAAAATTTTCTTTAAGAAGTCCGCGGCTTGTAAGGACCCTGTCAAAATTTTCTTTAAGAAGTCCGCGTCTTGTAAGGACCCTGACAAAATTTTCTTTAAGAAGTAGGTAGGGCCTGAAAAAATGTTCTTTACAAAATCCACGCCTATGGTAGGGCCTGAAAAAATGTTCTTTACTACCACGCCTATGGTAGGGCCTGAAAAAATGTTCTTTACTACCACGCCTATGGTAGGGCCTGAAAAAATGTTCTTTACAAAATCCACGCCTATGGTAGGGCCTGAAAAAATGTTCTTTACAAAATCCACGCCTATGGTAGGGCCTGGAAAAATGTTCTTTACAAAATCCACGCCTATGGTAGGGCCTGAAAAAATGTTCTTTACAAAATCTACGCCTATGGTAGGGCCTGAAAAAATGTTCTTACAAAATCCACGCCTATGGTAGGGCCTGAAAAAATGTTCTTTACAAAATCCACGCCTATGGTAGGGCCTGAAAAAATGTTCTTTACTACCACGCCTATGGTAGGGCCTGAAAAAATGTTCTTTACTACCACGCCTATGGTAGGGCCTGAAAAAATGTTCTTACAAAATCCACGCCTATGGTAGGGCCTGAAAAAATGTTCTTTACAAAATCCACGCCTATGGTAGGGCCTGAAAAAATGTTCTTTACAAAATCCACGCCTATGGTAGGGCCTGAAAAAATGTTCTTTACTACCACGCCTATGGTAGGGCCTGAAAAAATGTTCTTTACTACCACGCCTATGGTAGGGCCTGAAAAAATGTTCTTACAAAATCCACGCCTATGGTAGGGCCTGAAAAAATGTTCTTTACAAAATCCACGCCTATGGTAGGGCCTGAAAAAATGTTCTTTACAAAATCCACGCCTATGGTAGGGCCTGAAAAAATGTTCTTTACTACCACGCCTATGGTAGGGCCTGAAAAAATGTTCTTTACTACCACGCCTATGGTAGGGCCTGAAAAAATGTTCTTACAAAATCCACGCCTATGGTAGGGCCTGAAAAAATGTTCTTTACAAAATCCACGCCTATGGTAGGGCCTGAAAAAATGTTCTTTACAAAATCCACGCCTATGGTAGGGCCTGAAAAATGTTCTTTACAAAATCCACGCCTATGGTAGGGCCTGAAAAAATGTTCTTTACAAAATCCACGCCTATGGTAGGGCCTGAAAAAATGTTCTTACAAAATCCACGCCTATGGTAGGGCCTGAAAAAATGTTCTTTACAAAATCCACGCCTCTGGTAGGCCCTGAAAAAATGTTCTTTAAAAAAATCCACGCCTTATGTGGGCCCTGAAAAATATTCTTTAATAAATTCACGCCTAATGTGGTCCCTGAAAAAATATTCTTTAACAAATCCACGCCTGTGGTAGGTCTAGAAAAAATAGTCTTTAAAAATCCACGCCTGTCGTAGGCCTAGAACAAAATATTGCCGGCTTTTGTGTACCCTTAGAAAAATATTATTTGTAGAATCTATAGTTTATTAAAATATCACTTAGGTCATTTAACATTTGATCTAAATTTTATGTATTTAAGCCATATAAATATGTACAACACTATATACACACTCTACATATTATGCATAATATTGACATAAATTCCAATTTCATGTATGGGTCCTCATCTTGCACAGCACTGTGTGGCAGGCATGGTGTAGTGTGGTAGATTAAATATTGTTCTTTTTTCCGACGATGATAATCTCAGCATAGCCTAGAAATTTATGAAAATCTATTTGGTTTTTTTGCTTCGCAATTTTGTTCTGATGAGAAGTATTTTTTTCGCTTGATGATGATGAGAAATGGAAAATTTGAATTTATGTCGATTGTCTTGTTTAATCTAATGAGCTGGCATGCATGTGGAAATATGTTGAGAAACATAACAATTTTCCCTAAGCAAATTGGTGTCCTAAATGAAAATATTTATTTTGTAAATGCAAATAGTATGTGTGGGTATCTTAAAGTTTCTGGGAGTTATTATAATTGTGTTCCGCTACTACACTTTGTTAAGTTCTTGTTCACAGTGTGTTATGATACCCGTACTCATATAAATATAATTTTTCCCATTACAACTATGAAACTGTTAATAAGAATTTATAATTTTCTTCTTCACACTGCATGTGTGTATGTCATACTTTTTCTTTTGAAGTTTTACAAAGTAATATTTGAAATTCAAATTTATTTGCATGTGCAAAATTTTTGTTATAGCACATTTCCTCATTTCATTGTTCTGCAGATTACGCCATGATGAGGAAGTTTTCTGCTTTAGTTTTAAATTTTCTTTATAATGGAAATTCCATTGAAAAAGATGTCTTTCATAAATGGCAAGGAAGTGGAGTATGATTTAAATAAAAAAAATAATAAAAATATTCTTTAAAAAATCCACGCCTGTGGTAGGCCTATCAAAAAATATTCTTTAAAAAAATCCACGCCTGTGGAAGATCCTAAAAATATATTCGCCAAAAAAGGCACTTTAAGTCCTTTAAAGGCTTCTATCGACTAAAAAAGGTATTTTAATTTTCTATCGCCTGAAAAGGCATTTTAAGGCTTTTAACGGCTTATATCGCCTAAAAAAGGCCTTTTTAGGCTTTTAACGGCTTATATCGCCTAAAAAGGGCATTTTAAGAGCTTTAAAGGCTTCTATCGCCTAAAACCGGTATTTTAGTTTTCTGCCTTTAAAGGCTTCTATTGCCTTAAAAAGTTATTTTAATTTTCTATCGCCTAAAAAAGGCCTTTAAAGGCTTTTAGCGCCCTAAAAAGTCATTTTAAGACCTTCAAAGGCTTCTATCGCCTAAAAAGGCACTTTTAGGCGTTTAAAGGCTTCTATCGCCTAAAAAAGGCATTTTAAGGCTTCTATCGCCTAAAAGAGGCATTTTAAGGCCTTTAAAGGCTTCTCTCTATCCCATTTTATGGCCTTTAAAGGCTTCTATCGTCTAAAAAAAAGGCAATTTAAGGCCTTTAAAGGCTTCTATCGAATGAAAATGGTATTTTTAGGCCTTTAAAGGCTTCTATCGCCACAAAAGGCATTTTAAGGCCTTAAAGGCTTCTATCGCCTAAAAAAGGCATTTTAATGCTTTAAAGGCTTCTATCGCCTAAAAAAGGCAGTTGAGGGCCTTTAAAGGCTTCTATCGCCTAAAAAAGACATTTTAAGGCCTTTAAAGGCTTCTATCGCCTAAAGAGGCATTTTAGTTTTCTGTGGTCTAAAAAGGCTTAAAGGCTTCTATCGCCTAAAAAAAGGCATTTTAAGGCCTAAAGCTATTTTAAGGTCTTTAAAGGCTTCTATCGCCTAAAACAAAAAAAAATCTTAAAAAAAATATTCTTTAAAAAATACACGCCTGTCTAAAAAATATTCTTTAAAAAATCCACCACTGTGGTAGACCCTAAAAAATATTCTTTAAAAAATCCACGCCTGTGGTAGACCCTAAAAAAATATTCTTTAAAAAATCCACGCCTGTGGTAGACCCTGAAAAAATATTCTTTAAAAAATCCATGCCTGTGGTAAACCCTAAAAGATATTCTTTAAAAAATCCACGCCTGTGACAGACCCTCAAAAAATATTCTTTAATAAATGCAGACCCTAAAAAAATATTCTTTAAAAAATCCACGCCTGTGGTAGACGCTAAAAATTATTCTTTAAAAAATCCACGCCTGTGGTAGACGCTAAAAATTATTCTTTAAAAAATCCACGCCTGTGTAAAACTCAAAAAAAATTATTTAAAAAATCCACGCCTGTGTGGGTCCGCGAGGAAATATTCTTAAAAAAAATCCACGCCTGTGTAAAACTCTAAAAAAAATTCTTTAAAAAATCCACGCTTGTGTAAGACTTTAAAAAATTTTCTTTAAAAAATCCACGCCTGTGTGGGACTCTAAAAAAAATTCTTTAAAAAATCCACTCTAAAAAAATGCTTTAAAAAATCCACGCCTGTGTGGGACTCTAAAAAAAATTCTTTAAAAAATCCACTCTAAAAAAATGCTTTAAAAAATCCACGCCTTGTGTTAGGCCTTGAAAAAATATTTTTAAAAAATCCACGCCTTGTGTTAGGCCTTGAAAAAATATTTTTAAAAAATCCACGACTTGTGTTATGCCTTGAAAAAATATTTTAAGCCTTGAAAAGCGGGAAAATATATTTGTTTAAAAAATCCGCGGCCTGTGTGGGCTGGAGAATATATTTTTGGGCTTTGAAAATTATTAAAAAAATCCATTTTTAAAAATTTTTTTAGAATTATTTGTGAATTTAATTTTTTTTCTTCGTTTATATTCCTAAAATTACATTCGTTGTACAATTTACAATTCAAATTTAACTTTTCCGGATTTAATGCCCACCCTCAATCCATCCGCTGATCGTATATAGGGTGTATCGTCGTAACAAACACTAAAGTCGCTCATTGGCATCAATTTCATCTGATAGGTAGAGAATAGTTTCACTAAAATTTGCTTCACTGCAAGTTTTACAAAATTTTGTGCTGTAATTAAAAAATCAATATTTTAGAAAAATAAAAATTTTATAAAAATATCCTTAAATATACATGTTTTAGCTCCCAGACCAAATTCCGTAAATTTCTCTCCAGGATTACCATTACTATCATGCAAAAATCTCTGAGGTTTGTAGGCCAATGGATCTTGAAAGTACTTCCCGTCCCTTTGTATGGCCAGTAGGGGTATAACAAACGACTTACCCTCATTCAGGGTACGTTTACTGTTCGGTATGGCATATGGCTTGCGGCAAGTTCGCTCTATGGTCGGTACACTGGGGTATTTGCGAGTGGTTTCTGAAATTAAGGCGCGGAATTTTTAAAAATTATTTTTAGGGTATAAGGGTTAATTTTTTTTTAAATCCAGGCCTTATGATGGATTTAAAAAATTCAATTCAATTAATTTAATTAAATCTCTGTTAAGACTTATTTCTAGTTTTTTTTTCTGAACTTTCGAATCGATGTTGTCTAAAAACTCGAACCAACTCACCTTGTATACATAAATCCAATAATTTCATTTGTTTTAATTGTTCATAATTAATCTGATGCGGTTGCTGCTGTTTCTCCTTCACTCCATTGATCGCCTTAGCCGACTTTATTTCATTTCTCACCTTTTCCATCAGTTCGGGTTGTTTTAATATTTCATAGAGTGTAAATACTGCTGTCGATGCTATTGTCGTAATACCATTTTCCAATAAATATTCCGCTATCCTGGCCACCTTTTTAATTGAAATCACCTTTTCACGTTCGAAGACATTTTCGATGTGCCAATTAAATTTCTCTCTCACTTCAATGTCATTTCCATTGCGGAATTTAACCAACAGCTGCATTACATCCTTACGGATGGTGGCACCATCTTCACGCAATTCGACATTTTGTTGGACAATGTCACGCAGACGATATGTCAGTGAGGATTTCTTTGGCAGGCGACTGAAGGTGCTGTGAAGAGGGGAAATAAAAATTAAATATTTATTTGAAGCATATGTTCAGGGATGATTTTCTTTAATTATTTTTAAGGTATAACTTCAGGCGTGGATTTTTTAAAAAATCATTTTTAGAGTCTAACTCAAGGCGTGGATTTTTTTAAAAATTATTTTTAGGGTCTAACTCAAGGCGTGGATTTTTTTAAAAATTATTTTTAGGGTCTAACTCAAGGCGTGGATTTTTTTAAAAATTATTTTTAGTGTCTAACTCAAGGCGTGGATTTTTTTAAAAATTATTTTTAGGGTCTAACTCAAGGCGTGGATTTTTTTAAAAATTATTTTTAGGGTCTAACTCAAGGCGTGGATTTTTTTAAAAATTATTTTTAGGGTCTAACTCAAGGCGTGGTTTTTTTAAAAATTATTTTTAAAGTCTAACTTAAGGCGTGGATTTTTTAAAAATTATTTTTAGGGTCTAACTTAAGGCGTGGCTTTTTTAAAAATTATTCTTAGGTTCTAACTTTAGGCGTGGATTTTTTAAAAATTATTTTTAGGGTCTAACTTAAGGCGTGGATTTTTCAAAAATTATTGTTAGGGTCTAACTTAAGGCGTGGATTTTTTAAAAATTATTTTTAAGGTCTAACTTAAGGCGAGGATTTTTTTAAAAATTATTTTTAGGGTCTAACTCAAGGCGTGGATTTTTTTGAAAATTATTTTTAGGGTCTAACTCAAGGCGTGGATTTTTTTGAAAATTATTTTTAGGGTCTAACTTAAGGCGTGGATTTTTTGAAAATTATTTTTAGGGTCTAACTTAAGGCGTGGATTTTTTTTAAATTATTTTTAGGGTCTAACTTAAGGCGTGGATTTTTTTTTAAATTATTTTTAGGGTCTAACTCAAGGCGTGGATTTTTTTTAAATTATTTTTAGGGTCTAACTCAAGGCGTGGATTTTTTTTTTAAATTATTTTTAGGGTCTAACTCAAGGCGTGGATTTTTTTAAAATTATTTTTAGGGTCTAACTCAAGGTGTGGATTTTTTTTTTTAAATAATTTTTAGGGTCTAACTCAAGGTGTGGATTTTTTTTTAAATTATTTTTAGGGCCTAACTTAAGGAGTAGATTTTTTAAAAATTATTTTCTTATTTTAATATTCAAAAAATGTACTTACTATGAATTAATACCGCTCCTTTGAAATGCATTATTCGAATACTGTAGAAATACCGAATCGGTTTGTTTGAAAACATCAATGTCCAGGCCATAGATAAGATTTGCGATAATATTAACGGCATAACTGCAAAACGAAAAAAAAAATAAATAGAAAAAATATTGCAAAATACAAATAATTAATTTAAATTATTTTATTTGCAATGGAGCGTATCAAAACGAAGCAACTCTGTAAGATTTATTGCCAATGATAGGCAGATTGCCTATTTAACAGATTGCAGGGCGCTCGTTTCGAAACCATCTTATCTTATCGCAGATGGAATGACCCAACAGGAACACATACTCACATTCTCAACAATTGTTGCATATCAACTATACAATAATCCGAATCAGCAGCAGATGCCACCATCGATGCCGCCGCCGCCGTCGTCATGCTACCCGATGTTGAATTCAATTTATTTACCAGATGATCGCTAACCTTTTCCACATTTCGAAACATGGCCTCTAAACGGCTGTTGGCAAATAACGGTGATAACTTCTCCAATAGATTATATTTACGATATGATCGTATGTAATCCCATCGCGTATCGTTAAAATGTCCAGCCTGATTTTCCATAAGGGTTCGGGCCAACGAGAGGTCACGTATCATGAGGATGGGGCGAAAGAAGCAATATATCCCCACAAAACGTTCCTTACCCACTCCGTAATACGAATTGATGGCTTCGTTGTAATGAAATTCTCTCTGATAGATGGCGCGCAAAAATGACCACCTGAGGCTGGCATTTTCATGGGGAAATCCCTTTCGGCGCCAATAACTGTAGATGTGTCTGACGTAGAGGAAGATCAGGGAATACACCAAAATCGGTATCAGCAGCCACATGATGATGATGCTGAGATGTTGTTATTGGTTTAGTTGTTAAATCACAAGTGATAACTAGAGATCGCTAATGTTTCGGATTACAACCGAAAGCCCGCAGAGCTCACTTGACCGTTCAACCGTTTTGAGGTTCAATTATTTTCAGTTGAGTTCAGGTTTTTTTTTTGTTTTGTAGTTCGCCGTTTGCCACCGGCTTAGCTTGGAAACGGGTTCTGCTGTTAGTTTTGTTGTTATCGTCGTCGTTGTCGTGGTCTTGTTATTTATTATAGGTGATGCGAGAAACACGGGAGCACGCGTTCGTTTCGCTTTTAAAACTGATCATCAGAAGCATTACGGCCTCACTGACTGACCCAGCGTGCTTTGTTTCAAAAAACTGAAAATTCATTATTATTGTTGTTGTTGGTGTCGTTTTGTTTCTGCCATCTCTTGGTCAGAACAACAGAAAACGAAAGTTTAGCCGTGGCCGTTCTGCTGGTGGTGGTCATTCGCAAAAGCATGGCCCAAGACAATTCTCGGCGTTCTCTGTTACGTTTCAATGCGTTCTCAGCTGATAGCAAAGAATTTCTTTGAAGGCTAAATTCTCATCCGTACATCCATCCAGCCAGCCTTCTTCTATCAACCAAGCTCTGGGTGGTTGACAATGTATTTGTGTTTGAGTGTTTTTTTTTTTTTGGATGCAACAACAATCCTGGCGATTTTAATGCAAGAAGCACCCTACATCAGGGTGACTCAGACTTTTCGAAAAAAATATATATTTTTTTTAAATCCACGCCTTAAGTTAGACCATGAAAAATAATTTTTTTAATTTTTAAAAAATCCACGCCTTAAGTTTGACCATGAAAAATATTTTTTTAAAAAACACGCCTTAAAATAAAAATGAAAACACCATGAAAAATAATTTTTATAATTTTTAAAAAAATCACGCCTTAAGTTGGGCCATGAAAAATAATTTCTATAATTTTTAAAAAATCCACGCCTTAAGTTAGACCATGAAAAATAATTTTTATAATTTTTAAAAAATCCATGCCTTAAGTTAGACCATGAAAAATAATTTTTATAATTTTTAAAAAATCCACGCCTTAAGTTAGACCATGAAAAATAATTTTTATAATTTTTAAAAAATCCATGCGTTAAATTGACCATGAAAAATAATTTTTAAAAAAATAGGTTTTAAAAAATCCACGCCTTAATGTAGTCTTCAAAAATAGGTTTTAAAAAATCCACGCCTTAAGGTAGTCTTCAAAAATAGGTTTTAAAAAATCCACGCCTTAAGGTAGTCTTCAAAAATAGGTTTTAAAAAATCCACGCCTTAAGGTAGTCTTCAAAAATAGGTTTTAAAAAATCCACGCCTTAAGGTAGTCTTCAAAAATAGGTTTTAAAAAATCCACGCCTTAAGGTAGTCTTCAAAAATAGGTTTTAAAAAATCCACGCCTTAAGGTAGTCTTCAAAAATAGGTTTTAAAAAATCCACGCCTTAAGGTAGTCTTCAAAAATAGGTTCTAAAAAATCCACGCCTTAAGGTAGTCTTCAAAAATAGGTTTTAAAAAATCTACGCCTTAAGGTAGTCTTCAAAAATAGGTTTTAAAAAATCCACGCCTTAAGGTAGTCTTCAAAAATAGGTTTTAAAAAATCCACGCCTTAAGGTAGTCTTCAAAAATAGGTTTTAAAAAATCCACGCCTTAAGGTAGTCTTCAAAAATAGGTTTTAAAAAATCCACGCCTTAAGGTAGTCTTCAAAAAGTAATTTTTAAAAAATCCACGCCTTAAGGTAGTCTTCAAAAAGTAATTTTTAAAAAATCCACGCCTTAAGGTAGTCTTCAAAAGGTAATTTTTAAAAAATCCACGCCTTAAGGTAGTCTTCAAAAGGTAATTTTTAAAAAATCCACGCCTTAAGGTAGTCTTCAAAAATAGGTTTTAAAAAATCCACGCCTTAAGGTAGTCTTCAAAAATAGGTTTTAAAAAATCCACGCCTTAAGGTAGTCTTCAAAAATAGGTTTTAAAAAATCCACGCCTTAAGGTAGTCTTCAAAAATAGGTTTTAAAAAATCCACGCCTTAAGGCAGTCTTCAAAAATAGGTTTTAAAAAATCCACGCCTTAAAGAAGTCTTCAAAAAGTAATTTTTAAAAAATCCACGCCTTAAGGTAGTCTTCAAAAATAGGTTTTAAAAAATCCTCGCCTTAAGGTAGTCTTCAAAAAGTAATTTTTAAAAAATCCACGCCTTAAGGTAGTCTTCAAAAAGTAATTTTTAAAAAATCCACGCCTTAAGGTAGTCTTCAAAATGTAATTTTTAAAAAATCCACGCCTTAAGGTAGTCTTTAAAAATAGGTTTTAAAAAATCCACGCCTTAAGTTAGTCTTCAAAAATAGGTTTTAAAAAATCCACGCCTTAAGGTAGTCTTCAAAAATAGGTTTTAAAAAATCCACGCCTTAAGGTAGTCTTCAAAAATAGGTTTTAAAAAATCCACGCCTTAAGGTAGTCTTCAAAAATAGGTTTTAAAAAATCCACGCCTTAAGGTAGTCTTCAAAAATAGGTTTTAAAAAATCCACGCCTTAAGGTAGTCTTCAAAAATAGGTTTTAAAAAATCCACGCCTTAAGGTAGTCTTCAAAAATAGGTTTTAAAAAATCCACGCCTTAAGGTAGTCTTCAAAAATAGGCTTTAAAAAATCCACGCCTTAAGGTAGTCTTCAGAAATAGGTTTTAAAAAATCCACGCCTTAAGGTAGTCTTCAAAAATAGGCTTTAAAAAATCCACGCCTTAAGGTAGTCTTCAAAAAGTAATTTTTAAAAAATCCACGCCTTAAGGTAGTCTTCAAAAATAGGTTTTAAAAAATCCACGCCTTAAGGTAGTCTTCAAAAATAGGTTTTAAAAAATCCACGCCTTAAGGTAGTCTTCAAAAATAGGTTTTAAAAAATCCACGCCTTAAGGTAGTCTTCAAAAATAGGTTTTAAAAAATCCACGCCTTAAGGTAGTCTTCAAAAATAGGTTTTAAAAAATCCACGCCTTAAGGTAGTCTTCAAAAAGTGATTTTTAAAAAATCCACGCCTTAAGGTAGTCTTCAAAAAGTGATTTTTAAAAAATCCACGCCTTAAGGTAGTCTTCAAAAAGTAATTTTTAAAAAATCCACGCCTTAAGGTTGTCTTTAAAAATAGGTTTTAAAAAATCCACGCCCTAAGGTAGTCTTCAAAAAGTAATTTTTAAAAAATCCACGCCTTAAGGTAGTCTTCAAAAATCCACGCCTTAAGGTAGTCTTCAAAAATAGGTTTTAAAAAATCCACGCCTTAAGGTAGTCTTCAAAAATAGGTTTTAAAAAGATCCAAGCCTTCAGGTAGTCTTTAAAGCTAATTTAAAAAAAATCCGCGCCTGTGTTAAAAGCCTACCTCAGTTTCCGAAGTATTTTCCTAAAGGGTAGGGTTTTTATTATTCGACCTTGAGACATGGTCGGATTGACTGGCTACCACTTGTTGCTTCCACACTGATTTTTTTCTGCACTGCAGAATATTTTTTTTTTTTGCTCTCTTTCTTTGTGTTGTTATTTTCCAAAAAGGTTCTTCGACATGTTTACTCATTGTTGTTGTTGTTTTTTTAAGTAGGTTTCCTCCATCCAGCTTAAGCCCAAATTTGGAAAGACGAACATAAACGCTGATAATTATTTTTTTTTGTTTTTATGAGATACTGTTTTGTTTTGAGGCATTTTATTTATTTCCCTCTCTCTTTCATTTTTTTCTTTAGCAGTTTTATTTTGTTCTCACCCTCATCATTATCAGTATTTAATGGATGGTCGAAGTGTGTTCGAATTTTTGTTTGGTTTTCGCATGCATTCGAAATGATTCTGAAATTAGGTTGACTCACTTTTATGAGTGATTATTTCTTCCACAGAACTTGGATGTGTTTTTTTTAAAAAAAAATCGAATCTGAGATCGAAATTTTTTTGGGGGAAAAAATTCCCTAATATGTTTGTATAAAAAAATCACAAGCCTCAGAATTTAAGCTATAATTTTTTTCTTCAGAATAAATTCTTCCAGAGCTAATTTTCGTCCAATATCCCATCGAACTTCAGAGGCCTAGTTTTGCCCTCTCATAAATATTTCCAGACATCAAATTCATCATCTTCGCTTTCGACGGAGGTAGCCAACCTATAATTATTATCTGAATGTCTGCTGTCCGTTTGTTTGGCACAGATACCTGTTTTGTGATCCACTACCTGTCCGACTTCGGTAATGGTCTTGTTTTTTTTTTGGCACAGACAAACTGACAGCAATCCATCAAAATTGTTGATGTCTCTTGTAAACATGACTTGACTCTCAGTAAATTTTTGTATCTCTCTCTTTCAGCCTTTACTTATTTGTATTTATGTTTGTGGTCGCCCCGTCGTCACCCTCTTGCCCACACATGAGTAATTTATCCTTCCGGTTTGTATTTTTATTTATATTTTCGTTTATTGTTGTTGTTTTTTTCTTATTCGATTTTTCGGTTCTGTTGTTTGCCATTTCGTTCGATACACTTCTTTTTGTGTTACGATATGGGATTCCATATAAAGTGTTGACAATTTCCATGTAATTTGAATCACCATCGACGGACCAACACCACCGCCAGCGTCGTCGTCGCCGCCATACCCCTGCTTATCACTCCTTTTTTTTCTCCCTTCCCTTCTCATTTCATTCTTCATTGGCTGCTTTGTTTGTTTTTAATTCATGTGAAAATTGATATCGAAATTTTTAATCCACTGCCGGTTATTAAAAACTCCACAGTGCCTTTGTGAACTTCATTCCCGTAACCACCCATGGGAGAAGAAAAAAAATATATATTTTTTCAAGATTCGAAGTGTATTAAATTTCATAGTGTTTTATTATTGTTGTTATTGAAAAAAATTATAAAAACAAAAATCATAATAACCTGAAATGGATCCCATGTATATTTACACCGATTTATGCTTCCTCAATCATTCGAGAAATCCACCTAGTGAGATCTATTACGAAAGTGTAAGTGAAAAACTGAAAATCAAGGAATAATGTGTAATAAAAACATTTTTAAATCCACATTAACAAACCAGTGAGCGGAGCAGTATAGTCGGACGGGGCCGACCATATGATACCCTACACAACTTGGTTGTGTGGTTCTATATTCTGAGCTTGGGCAATATTTCGTGATATTTTCACCCTCTTGACCAACTAGATGTCAAGAAAAATTCCAGATTTCCTTCACCGAGGGATTTGTTGTGATGTTCGGCCTTCAATTGTGGCCTTTAGATCGACTCGAAATAGACGCAAAAAAATAGGTTTTCGGTCCACTTCATCCCAATATTATTATCTGATCATCACCGAAAATTACAGAAGTTGTCCTTGATCATACCTGGATACTCATGAAAATTTCAAAGCTATCAGCGCTATATTTTCGCCCTCTAGTGTGGTAATGGATTACTAAATAATATCTGAACACGTAAATACCTATTAATATTTACGTATAACTCACACATCCGAGTACATACGACAATATAATTGGTATCAATTTAAAGGTCAACCACTCCTCTTGGATATACTATCACCTTCTCGGGTCTTTCTTCTTCAGGGGCATATATATATACGCTATAGAATACAAATTTTGTCATTTTTCGCACAAAATTCAGGGTCCATTTGAACCGCTAAATATTGATCAATCTTAATCAACCCCGACCCCCTTCTCCATGTAAAATTTTGCGATGTTCGGGCCATAATTGCGGCCTCTGGAGCGATCAGAAAAACGGACAAAAACTAAGTATTTAGTCCATTTCATCACCTAAATATTAACCGATCTTTACCAAAAACAATAGGGGTTTCATTGGCCAGAGCACATCCGACATGCACAATTTCGTGAAGATTGGTCCATAACTGTGTCCTGTATCGTATTTACAAATTATAATGGACATATGGACAGACGGACGGACAAACAGACGGATGGCAGGGCGGTCGGATCGATTCAGCTAGTTGAGATATGACGATCGGTGTACTTAAAGGTGGGTCTAGGACCAATATTTCGTGGCATTACAAACTTTTGGTGCTGCACAAAGCTATAATACTCTGACAACATAGTTGTGTAGGGTATAATAAATTTTACAAAATCCTCGCTTATGATATTACTTACTTACTTAGCTGGCTTGTGACAGAACTTTCGTTCCATAAGCCGAGCTTAGAAAAGATTTCCTGGGGCGTCGGTCTTTTTGCGCAGTTTTTCCAATTTGAAAGACCATTTTCGGCAATGTTGTCTTCCACTTGATCTTTCCATCTTATTCGTGGCCTTCCCCTGCTGAATCATCAGCTGGTTCGATTTTATATGCCTTTTGGGCTGGGGCATCTTCATCCATTTTCACAACATGACCTAGCCACAACGGAGTCGCTGCAGCTCAATACGTCTAACAATGCCGATGTCCGAGAATAGCTGGCACAGCTCATGGTTCATTCGACGGCGATATTCACCGTCATCGACCTATAGATCTTTCGGATAATTTCTCTCTCAAACACTCCAAGAGCTGTCTCATCTGCTTGTGTAAGTGCACATGCTTCGGATCCATGTAACAGCAAGGGTAGTTTCAGCGTCTTGTGGAGTGTGAGTTTGGTCTGGCGGGATGTGACATTGAGTAGCTCATTCAGACCATATTATCATCTGTTGGGCAACACTATCCATCTCCGAATTTCAAAACTGATGTCATTCGTCTTGTTTACGGTGGTACCAAGGTATATCCAATTTTTGACTACCTCGAAGCTGTAGTTCTCAAGTTCCACAGTTGATCCGAGTCTACTGGACGTCTTGAGCGTTGATACCATCAGCTTGGTCTTATCGCCGTTTACTGCCAGATCCACTTTGGCAGACACCTTCTCAATTTGTTCAAAGGTTGCTGTTACTGCTCTCAATGTTCGATCCATTATGTCGATGTCAGCGGCGTAGGCGAGTAACATGTGTTGTTTGGTGTACAGAGTGCCATTTCTTTTCATCTTTGCCTTTCGTATGAGCTTTTCCAGCAGGATGTTAAAAAGGCCACACGACAAACTGTCACCTTGACTGAATCCCTCGTTCGGTATTGAAGGGCTCCGAGAGGTCCTTTCCGACTTTAATTGCTGGTCTTGAACCAGTTTAAGTTATCCTGCATATCCGAATTAATTTTTTTGAATGCCGAACGTAGACATGGCTTTAAGAATCTCTGAACGGATAGGTCTGTCAAATGTGAATTTATAGTCGACGAATAGGTGGAATGTGTCGAATGTGTTTTTCGTGGGATTTTCCAGGGTTTGGCGCAGAGTGAAGATCTGACCAGTGGTGGATTTGCCAGATCTTAAACCCCATTGGTATGGTCCAATAATTCATTGACCATAGGTTTGAGTCGTTCACACAACACGTTGGATAGTACTTTATAGGCGATGGGAAGGAGACTTATTCCTCTATAGTTGACACATATCGTCTTGTCTCCTATTTTGTACACGTGACCCTGGATGCTGAGGTTTCAATCATTGAGCATGAATTCCTCTAGCCAAATTGTATTAATCAGCTGGTGCATGCTCCTTACCAGCATCTGACCACCAGTCTGAAATAGTTCGGCCATCGGCACCTGTTGCTTTAATATTCTTTAGCCGATTTATTGCTATTCTGACCTCAACTTGGTTAGGTGGTAAACACTCTATACTGTCATCTATTATTGGTTCTGGGGTATCCTCTTCACAGCTACTATTTGATACTAGAAGTTTTTCAAAATGCTCCTTCCAGATCCTTAACACGCTGTCTGTATCTGTCACCAGGTTTCCTTCTTTATCTCTACAGGAGGATGTGCCTGCACCAAAGCCTTCGGTTTGGTGTTTTACGCATTGGTAAAATGTTCGGACTTCATTCCGGACTCCTGTACATCTCGATTTGCTCGCGCTCACTTTTTTCTTGTTCTTTCATATTTTTTCTAAAAACACGTTTCTCCTCTCTCCTTTTCTCCCGATAATTCTCCATCACATTACGTGTTGCTACTATCTGCAGGGTTGCCCTATACGCTGCGTTTTTCAAATCAGTAGCATTACGACACTCCTGATCGTACCATGGGTTTCTTGGTGGTGGTTTTTGGTACCCAAGTGTTGCTTTTGCTGCAGTTTGTAGGTAGTGGGCAATTCTTTGCTATTGTGCTGCGATACTATTATCGGGACATGAAGTGCTTTCGTTGAGCGGAGTAGGCCTTGGCTACCTGTTGTGCTTGCAGCTTTTCGACGTCGAGTTTCCGTGTTGTGTTAGATCGCACCTTTTGCTGCAACATTAGGACGAGTGCGAACCTTGGCTGCTACAAGGTAGTGGTCCGAATCGATATTCGCTCTTCGGATCGATCGATCGTCTAATACACTGGATGAATGTCTTCAGTCTATCACAACATGATCGATTTGATTTCTCGTTGCTTGATCAGAAGAAATCCAGATGGCCTTTTGTATATCGAGATGCTTGAATCTGGTGCTGTTAACTACCATGTTTTTTGCTGCCGCGAAATCAATCAACCTCATGCCGTTGTCGGATGTTTCTACATGGAGACTGAATTTTCCTACGGTGGGATCAAAGATATTTTCCCTTCCGATTTCTGCATTAAAATATTCTGGCAGAATTTTAATGTCATGGCCAGGGCTGCGATCATATGCTGTTTCTAGACGCTCATAAAATATGTCTTTGGTCTGTTTATCTTTGTCTTCGGTCGTAGCATGGGCGAAAATAAGACTGATGTAGAAGAACTTCGCTTTTATACGGATTATAGCAATACGCTCAACTACTGGGGTGAATCTGGAGACGAGGTCTTTTATTCTCCTGATAACCAAATATACGCAGCAAAATTCATGTCTCGTTTCATGGCAGCTATAGGCCGTAATCATCCGATTTACCTACGCCAGTCCCTTTCTATCGCATTTCCTGTAAGGCAATAATATCGGATTTAAACTTCTTGAGTACATGCGCCAAGGCGGAAACTGCGCCTGTTCTGTACAACGTGCGCACATTCCAAGTGCAGATTCGCAGATCGTGGTCCTTTAACATTAGGGGGTTTTGGTTTTCTTTTTCGTTGCTTTTTCATAGTTAGAGGGGTTTACCGAATGCGGACAACTAACCCAACGCCTCAACCCATGTGTTTAGCTCTTATGTGTGAACTCGCGGCACATATTAGCTCAATATTTCAATGGAAAACAGTTATCCCAGGTGACACCGCAGGGAGGTCAGTGCCCACAATTGAGATGAAAGAGGGACCAAGATAAGTCTGGGCTGCCATGTTAAAGCCAATCAGAGTCGTTTCTTGGTATCTATCATCCCCTACGTCACCCGCCTTAAGATATACCTTGAAAAGTAAAATCCACGCCTCTGAAAGCCATCGATAAATATCATTTAAATTATAAATTTATTATTAATTTATAATATTTTTTATATACAAAATTGTTATTCAATAAAAAATCGTACACATTCATCACAAAATATTGTGGAAATCCACGAGTATATAACAAATTTTACAACAGCTCCAATTCTATTTTACCACCTCTTCGAGAGGCCCACATTGAGACCATTCACCGGCACCAAGACCGGAGCAGTATGGAATTTAAACTCCACTTCTTTACGTGGCATTGGCTGAATATAGAAATTGGCTAAGATTTTGGCCAAGGCAATCTTTGAATTCATCACACCCATACGCTGAGCTGCAAAAACCCGAAGAAATTAATTTTTATGTAGTTTAATTAAAATAATAATAATCCTATGTCTTACCAATACAATGACGTGGTCCCTCACCAAATGGCATATAGGCCACCGGATTATAATCTTTGCTATCCTCAGCAAAACGTTCCGGCCTATAGTCCGTGGGATTGGGGAAATATTTCGCATCCCGGTGTATACCAAATATGGGTATTATTATACTTGTACCATTTTCAATGGTTAATTTTGAATCGGGTATTTTAAAAGTCTGGGTACAATGGCGATTCAGAAATGGTAGGCCAGGATATTTGCGGGTGGTTTCTGGAAAACAAATAATATAATTTTTTAAATTTTGGAAAAACACTCCTTTTTAATCCTCCACCTCACCCATCACACACAAATCCAAATATTTCAAATCCTGTATAGCCTCATAGGTCAAACGTCCCTCCGGCTTGAGATTGTGTTTTCGCAAAACTTCATCAACTTCGTTTTGTGCCTTTTTCAATATTTCCGGATACATGGCCAATTCGTAGATGGTAAACGAAATGGTGGCTGATGTTGTCTCCGATCCAGCTACATAGAATAGGAATGCATTGGAAGCAATCATATCTATGGACATGGCTTTTAGATTTTCCGCAGTCGATTCGATTTTTTTCCATACCTTATCACTGTCATCGGAAATTTTCCCTGTATTTCGTAACTGAATAAATAATTGTAGCAGATCTTTGCGAACCACACCCTTTTCTTCACGAAATTCTATGGTGCGTTTGACAATGTCACGCAGGCGATAGGTGACGGGATCCTTGGCACCAAGCCGCGATAATATTTTGGCAATTCTGAAAATTAAAAGGAGATGGAGTTTAAAGGGGATTATAGCTATTTGTGGGGAATTTGGATAGAAGATGTATTCCATGGATTGAAGAGGTATTCAATGGATTGAAAAGGTATTCCAGTGACAGAAGAGTTATTCTACGGTTAGATGAGGTTTTCTAGGGATCGAAAAGGTCGTATATGAATCGAAAAGGTTTTCTATGAATAGAAGAGGTCTTCTATGAATAGAAGAGGTCTTCTATGAATAGAAGAGGTCTTCTATGAATAGAAGAGGTCTTCTATGAATAGAAGAGGTCTTCTATGAATAGAAGAGGTCTTCTATGAATAGGAGAGGTCTTCTATAAATAGGAGAGGTCTTCTATGAATAGGAGAGGTCTTCTATGAATAGAAGAGGTCTTCTATGAATAGAAGAGGTCTTCTATGAATAGAAGAGGTCTTCTATGAATAGAAGAGGTCTTCTATGAATAGAAGAGGTCTTCTATGAATAGAAGAGGTCTTCTATGAATAGGAGAGGTCTTCTATGAATAGGAGAGGTCTTCTATGAATAGTAGAGGCCTTCTATGAATAGAAGAGGTCTTCTGTGAATAGAATAATTTTTAAATAAAATTTTTTTAGTTCTACAAAAGGCGTGGATTTTTAAGGAATATTTTTTTCCAGGTTCAGCAAAGGAGTGGATTTTTAAAGAATATTTTTTTAAACCTACCAAAGAAGTAGATTTTTCAAGAATAATTTTTTCTACGACTATTTTTAAACTAAAATTTTTTTCCAAGGTATGCCAGAGGCGAGGATTTTTAAAGAATATTTTTTAGACCTACCAAAGGAGAGAATTTTTAAGGAATATTTTTTCTTGGCTTTTTAAAGGCGAGGATTTTTAAAGAATTTTTTTTCTAGGTCCCTTAAAGCTGGATTTTTAACGGACAATTTTTTGGCAGGTCTATCGAAGGCTAAGATTTTTTACAGAATATTTTTTCTAGGCCTATCAATTTTTTCTACGACTATCAAAGGCGTGGATTTTTAAACTAAATTTTTTTTCCAAGGTATGCCAGAGGCGAGGATTTTTAAAGAATATTTTTAGACGTACCAAAGGAGAGGATTTTTAAGGAATATTTTTTTCTTGGCTTACTAAAGTCGTGGATTTTTAAATAATATTTTTTTCTAGGTCTCTCAAAGCTGGAATTTTTACTGACAATTTTTTGGCAGGTCTATCGAAGGCTAAGATTTTTTACAGAATATTTTTCTGGGCCTATCAAAGGCTAGAATTTTTGCAGAATATTTTTCCTAGGCCTATCAAAGGCCCGGATTTTATGCAGGATATTTTTCCTAGGCTTATCAATGGATAGCATTTTTGCGGCATATTTTTCTTAGGCTTACCGAAGGGATATAATTTGTAGAAAATATTTTTTCTAGTCCTCCCAACCAATTGAATTTAAAAGGAAATTAAGTTTTACAAAGTTCTTCACATTTTTTATATTTTGGAGGCCCCAAAAGTGCTGAGACAATTTATGCAATATTTTGGAGGCCTCTTGCACATTTGGAATGTTTCTAAAATATTTTTTTTTCGACTACTCAAAGGCTTAAAATTAGCAAGTAATGTTTTTTGAGGTCTATCATTGGCTTAAAAATATTTGAATTTTGAAAGAAAAAATTTTCCTATGACTTGGTTTGGATTTTTAAAAATTTTTTCTCCGGATAATACTCACGGTGGACACATAAAATTCGTTAAGTTCCTCAATCCCTCCAGCATACTTGGTTTGGGATTATTAAACAAACGATCACTTAGCACACGGAATTCATTGTTCGGCTGGCTAAAGCTATCGATTTCCAGGCCAAATATAACCGAACCAATGATGTCAATGGCATATCTGAAAAAAATCATATAATACATTTGAAATTGAAACTCTATCCAAAACCTCATACTTACGTTGTTAAAATACTCTTAATTTCCAAGGTATGCGATTTACCATCCTCCAACTTTTCTGCTAGATGGCTTATTAATTTATCTGCCACATCATCGACCGTATCAAACATACCCTTCAATTTACCCGACGAAAAAGAGGGTGTCAATTTCATTCTTAACGAACGCCATGACTGACCCTCCATGGTGAATAAATTTGCGGACATTGGATCGTGTTTCTCGTCCACATAAAAACCACGATCATGAAAGCTATTAAAATCTGAGGTTAAAATTTGTCTCGCCAATTCGGCATCACGAATCAAGAGCGCGGGACGGAAGAATAAATAAATACCCACTACCTTCTCATGGCATTTGTAATAGATATCGGATAAAACTAAACCGAATGAACGTTCCTTGTGGAACACCTTTGCCATTGAGCCCAACGGTATGGCGGCCTTATCCGACTCAAAGCCCAAACGTTCCCATTTGCTATAATGGCGTTTTGCGAAAATATACAGGGACGTTAGGACAATTAGTAGAAGTAGTGTTAACATTTTTTTTTTTCAAAATTTATATTCACACTTGCACTGGCCGTTAAATTTTTTTTAGAGATCTGATCGTGTACGTGTTTCGTAAATAATTAAATTGTAGATACTCAGTTAATGCATGCTATTCATTGTCATGCATATAAAGGCCAGTTGCACCCATTTGTTATCTTCACTCTCTGTTGATGAAATTCTCCGATTAATTGCGTTTTTTTTTTATGGACTGAGGGTGACTGAGCAAATATTTATTTTCTATATCGATATTCTCTTTTTTGTTGATTTAGATGAGGTTGTCGATTTTTTTAAAATATATATATATATATATAATTACAACAATAACAGGTTCGGTTATGTTCATTGGATCGGTCAAGTAGAAATAATATTTTATACACAGTCATAAGAAGCAGACTATTGATCCATAAATCGATACCCAGCAAACTGAGTCAAAATCTCTGGAAAAGACCTAAAAAATGTGTAAAAAAATGTTACCTTATGGTAGGCCTCAACAAATATTATATGAAAACCCCAGGCCTTTTTGGGCCACAAATAACATGCTAAAAAATAGGGAAGGTTTCGGTAGTCCTCAAAAAATATTTGATGACTGAAAACTTTATTATATATGTATTGGCATGCTTCAAAATATTTTATAAAAATTCCAAGCCTTTGATAGGTCCCAAAAAATACTCTAGGCTTCGGTAGCCCTTAAAAATATTTCGAGTTACACCCTCTTTCACGATTAGAGGTCAACAGCACCTTTTCCTTAACTGACATATTTTCCGAATACTACTAATATCCAGTCCTGCCCTTCAAATTAATTGTCCAGATTCCCTTCACCGTGGGTTGTGTTGTGATGTTCGGCTTTCATTTGTGATCTACAGATCGACTCGAAAAAACACAAAAATTAAGTTTTCGGCCCACTTCATTCCAAAATTATTATCTTCTGATCATCACCGAAAATTATAGGCGTTGTCCTTGACCATAACTGGAACCTAATGGAAAATTTCAAAGCAAAATTCAGAGTTCATTTTGTCCGCTAAATAATGACCGATCTTTATCAAAACAGTAATTTATGCCAAATTTCGTGCAAATGGAAACATACATAGGGACTTTGGAGCCCAATTTACCATATATCGGACGAAAATATATATGGGAGTTATGTATAAATCTGACCCGATTTTCTCGAAACTTGGTACACGTCATTCTTTACCTAATTCAGTTCTTTATGCCAAATTGCGTGCAAATCGAAAGATATATAGGGACTTTGGTGTCCCATTTACCATAAATCGGATGAAAATATATATGGGAGCTATATCTAAATCTGGACCGATTTTCAGGAAACTTGACACACATCAGTCTTGACTTTATTCACAACGCTATGCCAAATTTCGTGCAAATCGAAAGATATATAGGGACATTGGTACACCATTTAGATTAAATCGGACGAGACTATATATGGGAGCTATATCTAAATCTGAGCCGATTTTCACGAAACTTAGTACACAACATTCTGGACGTAATTCAGAACTCTATGCCAAATTTCGTGCAAATCGAATGTTATATAGGGACTTTGGTGTACCATTCACCTTAAATCGGACGAAACTGTATATGGGAGCTATATCTAAATCTGAGCCGATTTTCACGAAACTTAGTACACAACATTCTGGACGTAATTCAGAACTCTATGCCAAATTTCGTGCAAATCGAATGTTATATAGGGACTTTGATGTACCATTCACCTTAAATCGGACGAAACTATATATGGGAGCTATATCTAAATCTGAACCGATTTTTTCGAAACTTAGCACACATCATTCTGGACATAAATCAGAACTCTATGCCAAATTTCGTGCAAGTCGAATGTTATATAGGGACTTTGGTGTACCATTCACCTTAAATCGGACGAAAATATATATGAGAGCTATGCATAAATCTGACCCGATTATCTCGAAACTTGGCACACGTCATTCTTTACATAATTTAGTATTTTATTCCAAATTGCGTGCAAATCAAAAGATATATAGGGACATTGGTGCCCCATTAACTTAAATCGGGCGAAACTATATATGGGAGCTATATCTAAATCTGAGCCGATTTTTACGAAACTTAGTACACAACATTCTGGACGTAATTAAGAACTCTATGCCAAATTTCGTGCAAATCAAATGTTATATAGGGACTTTGGTGCACCATTCACCTTAAATCGGACGAAACTATATATGGGAGCTATATCTAAATCTTAACCGATTTTTTCCCAATTTCAATAGGGTTCGTCCTTGGGTCAAATAAGTGACTTGTGCCCAATTTCATCCAAATCGAATCATAAATGCGACCTGTACTTGGTTTACAATTTAAAATTTACAGACGGACGGACGGACATGCATACATCGACTCAGAAAGTGATTCTATGCATATTCTCAAAAGGAACCATGTGTCTATCTCGTTTCCTTTGGCTGTTACAAACATATGCACAAAGATATAATACCCTGTACCACAGTGTGGTGAAGGGTATAAAAATCTATGGATTCCTTATCAAAATTCGGTGCCATTCTCTTTCTCTACCTCTCTTATTTGGGAGAATCAACTGTAAATAGGCCCACAATTATCTGCAATCGCTTTTGATAATACCCATAAGTACTTGTCCTAATCTTTTATGATAAAGAATCCGGCAATTGCTACTTAACATCTGGTACACGTGAAGTTCCATATCATATGCAGGTTACACGGACGTACCTAAAATTTGGTGGGGGAGAGGTCTTCTATAATATTCATAAATAGATGAGGTCTTCTATGGATAGAAGAAGTCTTCTATGTATAGAAGAGGTATTCAATGGAAAGATGAGGTCTTGTAGGGATAGAAGAGGTCTTGTATATATAGAAAAGGTCTTCTATGGATACATTAAGTTTTGTATGGATAGATGACGTCTTCTATGGATATATGAGGTTTTCCATGAATAGAAGGGGACTTCTATGGATAGCAGAGGTCTATGGATAGATGAAGTCCTATATGGATAGGAGGGGTCTTCTATGGTTAGCAGAGATTTTCTAGGGATCTTCTAGGGTCTTCTATCTCATTGAAGAGCTTATATATGGATAATAGAGTTCTTCTATGGCAAAAGGGTACTTCTATGAATGAAAGAGACCACCAGGTGACTTCGGTGCTTAGAAGAGGTCTTCTCTGTATAAAAAGGGTCTTCTATGAATTGAATATATCTTTTTTATATTAATCTTAATTTATTTATTAATATTTCAATATAAAATGTCATTAATAAAATAAAAAAAGGAGTATCTATTTGTAACAAAATTGAGGATTGGGTTTCCGAATCGATCAATTCTATTTTACCACCTCTTCGAGAGGCCCACATTGAGACCATTCACCGGCACCAAGACCGGTGCAGTATGGAATTTAAACTCCACTTCTTTACGTGGCATTGGTTGAATATTGAAATTGGCTAGGATTTTGGCCAGGGCCACCTTTGAATTTATCACACCCATGCGCTGAGCTGCAAAGATCCAAGAAAAATAATTTATGTATTTAACTTGGTTATATTAAAAAATCCGCAGACTTACCAATACAATGACGAGGTCCCTCACCAAATGGCATAAAGGCCACTGGACTATAATCTTGGCTATCTTCGGCAAAACGTTCTGGCTTATAATCCATGGGATTAGGGAAATATTTGGGATCACGATGTATACCCAAGAGGGATATGATGATGCCCGTACCCTTTTCAATGGTTAATTTTGAATCGGGTATTTTAAAAGCCTGAGTAGATTTGCGATTTAGAAATGGTAAGCCAGGATATTTGCGGGTGGTTTCTGAAAAACAAAAAATTTTTCTTTTTTAATTTTGGAAATTAAATAAATAAGTTCTTCTTCTTACCCATCACACATAAATCCAAATATTTTAAATCTTGTATAGCCTCATAAGTCAAACGTCCCTCCGGCTTGAGATTGTGTTTTCGCAAAACTTCATCCACTTCGTTTTGTGCCTTTTTCAGTATTTCCGGATACATGGCCAATTCGTAAATGGTAAATGAAGTTGTGGCTGCTGTGGTCTCCGATCCGGCAATATAGAATAAGAATGAATTTGATGCAATCATATCAATAGACATCGATTTTAGATTTTCAGCAGTCGATTCAACTTCATTCCATAGTTTATCACTGTCATCGGAAATTTTCCCTGTATTACGTAGCTGAATAAATAATTGTAGCAGATCTTTGCGAACCACACCCTTTTCTTCACGAAATTCTATGGTGCGTTTGACAATGTCACGCAGGCGATAGGTGACAGGATCCTTGGCACCAAGACGCGATAATATTCGGGCAATTCTGAAAATGAAGAAGATATGGAGTTCAGAGAGGAGTGTAGCTATGAGTATAGAAGGGGATCTCTATGGATATAAAGGATCTTCTATGAATAGAAGTGGTCTTCTGTGTATAAAAGAGATCTTCTTTGGATAAAAGAGGTCTTTATGATAACAAGAGGTCTTCTGTGAAAAGAGTAAGTCTTCTGTGAATGGATAGCAGAGATCTTCTATAGGTAGAAGAGATCTTCAATGGGTAGAACAAGTCTTCTATGGATAGAAAAGGTCTTCCGTGGATCGAAGAGGTCTTCTATGTATAAAAGAGGTCTTCTTTCGACAGAAGAGATCTTCTTTTAATATAAGATGTCTTCAATGGGTACAAGAGGTCTTCTATGAATAAAAGAGGTTCTTAATGGGTACAAGAGGTATTCTATGAATAGAATAGGTCTTCTATGGATATAGGAGGTCTTCTATAAATAGAAGTGGTCCTCTTTCGACAAAATATGAATTAAGAAAAGGTCTGCTATGCATCGAAGAGGTCTCATGTGGTTAGAAGGGGTCTTCTATCTACTGAAGAGGTCTTCTTTAGACAAAATTTGCTTCTTTTAATAGAAAGGGTAAAAAAGGTCTTCTATGTATCGATGGCCCTTTTTTCTTGCTCACTAAAGGAATCGATTTTTACAACATATTTTTCCAGCTCGGAATTTTGAAGAATAATTTTTGTAGACCGTGGATTTTTGTAGGCGTGGAGTTTTGAAGAATAATTTTTATAGACCTACCAAAGGTGTGGACTTTTAAGTAGTAATTTTTCCAGACTTACCAAAGTCGTGGATTTTTGAAGAATAATTTTTCTAGGCCTACCAAAGGCGAGGACTTTGAAAGAATAATTTTTTTTCTTGACCTCTTAAAGACTTAAAATTTGATAGAATATTTTTTATAAACCCTTTGGTGGGTTTAGGAATCTTTATAGAATATTTTTGAGGAATACCATGTACATGGTATTCTGCAGAAAAATTTTTGGGACCTACTAAAGGCTTGGAATTTGTATAAAATATTTTTGGGGTCTATCAAAGGATAGTAGGGTTTTCTACAACATTTCGAGACCTTGGGATTTGTATTAATTTTTTTTACAGGAGATTTATGAGGCTAGAATTGTTACCGAATATTTCTTGAGACCTGCAAAGGCTTGGATTTTTTTAGAATATTTTTTGAGGTCTACCAAATTCTTAGAAATCGTATAAAAAATTCATGGGGCCCACCAAACTTTGTCTACATTGTTTTTTGTGCCCTATCAGAGGCTTGAGTTTTTTATTAAATATTTTTGTGGGCCTATCGAAGACTTCGAATTTTTACAGAATATTTTTCAGGTTTACCAAAGATTTTACACTTTCATAAAACATTTTTTGAGGCCGAGCAAAATATTAAAACCTCTATAGAATAAATTTTGCGGCAAACCGAACACTATACATTTTGGTATGTAAATTTTGATAGAATATTTTTGCTAGGCCTACTAAAGACCAGGGTTTAAAAAATATATATTTTTCCGAAAATACTCACGGTGGACACATGAAATTCATTAAACCCCTTACTCTCTCCAGTACAGTCGATTTGTTACTATTAAACAAACGATCACTTAGCACACGAAATTCATTATCGGGATGGCTAAAGCTATCGATTTCCAGGCCAAATATAACCGAACCAATGATGTCAATGGCATAGCTGAAAACAAAATTTTACAATAAATATAAAATTGAAAACCTCTCCAAAATGTACTACTTACGTTGTTAAAATACTCTTAATTTCCAAGGTATGCGATTTACCATCCTTCAGCCTTTCCGATAAATGACGTATTAATTTATCACCCACATCATCTACGGTGTCAAACATACCCTTCAATTTACCCGACGAAAAAGAGGGTGTCAATTTCATTCTCAACGATCGCCATGATTGACCTTCCATGGCAAATAAATTTGCTGACATTGGATCATTTTTCTCATCCACATAAAGTCCACGATCATGAAAACTATTAAAATCGGTGGTTAAAATTTGCCTAGCCAATTCGGCATCACGAATCAAGAGCGCGGGATTGAAGAACAAATATATGCCCACAACCTTCTCATGGCATTTATCATAGATATCGGACAATACCAAACCAAAGGGACGTTCCTTGCGGAAAACCTTGGTCAACGAACCAAAGGGTATTGCCGCCTTATCCGATTCAAAACCCAAACGTTCCCATTTGGTATAATGGATTTTTGCAAAAACCAACAGGGTCGTCAGCACAATTAGTAGTAGTAATATTAACATTTTTTTTATTTTATTTTTTCACAATTGTTTCAAATTAGTATTCACACTTGCCCTGGCCGTTAATAGTTTTGTTTTCCAGTGATCTGTTCGACTACGTGTTTCGTTAATAACTAAATAGTTGATAGCCAGTCGGGCTGACAGTGTTTGAATTTAAATGTTATGCAATTAAGAAAGATTGTGTACGTTCCTTATCTTCACTCTCCGCGAATGAAATTCTCGGATTTGTTTTTATTTTTTTTATTTTTTTAAATGCGTTGTTGTAAGTAACTGAACAAATATTTGTTTTCGATAATTGTATTCTCTGTTGTCTCTCTCTCTGTTGATTTCGATAAGGTTGTACATTTTATTACAATTACAGAATTGTATGTATGTAATTATAATGCATATAGATACAATTCTCAATTTCGCTTTCCACTGGTCAAGATCGTCGTGCTAATTATAATATTAAAACACAGACCAGAAAACTGATTCAAAATCTCTGAGTAAGGCTTATCAAAATTTTTAAAAGAATTCTACAAAATATTCTCTAAATAGTGGTAGCAATTTATTATTTTTTTTTTTTGCATTTGGTAGGATTCAACAAATGTTCGGTACAAATTCGTAACCCCTCGTAGGCCTCAAAAATATCACCTAAAACGTCCATGGCTGTACAATATTTATAGCTTTGTGCAGCCCCAAAAGTTTGTAACGCCGCGAAATATTGGCCCTAGGACCCACCTTTAAGTATACCGATCGTCATATCTCGACTAGCTGAGACGATATAGACATGTGTATGGACCAATCTTCACGAAATTTTGCATGTAGGCCAATGAAGACCCCTATTGTTTTTGGAAAAGATAGCTTAATATTTAGGGGATGAAATGGACCAAAAACTTTATTTTTGTCGGTTTTTCTGGTCGCTCCAGAGGCCGCAATTATTGCCCAAACACCCCGAATTTTTGCATGGAGAAGAGGATCGGACCAAAGAATAAGCATGCCTGTTTTGATAAAGATCGGTAAATATTTAGCGGGTCAAATGGACCCTGACTTTTGTGTGAAAAATTACAAAATCTTTAAGTTGATAGTCTATCCAAGAGGAATTGTTGACCTTCAAATTAATATCAATTATATGGTTGTATGTACTCTGATGTGGGAGTTATCCGTAATTAGCCACTTCAAGGAAAAACATTTTGGAAATATGCTAGGGTTGGTCTCGGTATTAATATTTGTATTAATACCGAGACTTATGAACGCAAAAAAGAACCATTGGTCAGACCTATGATGTGCAGCATTATGAATTTCGCAATCTTGTAAAACTATGATAAGGAGTGAATAGGGAAGAGGCAGGAACAAATTTACGGAATTTTATTGACAATTTGTTCATGCCTCTTCCCTATTCACTCCTTATCATAGCTTCACAAGATTGCGAAATTCATAATGCTGCACATCATAGGTCTGACCAATGGTTCTTTTTTTGCGTTCATAAGTCTCGGTATTAATACAAATATAAACATGAGTATCATCAAACCCAAAGCGAGGACCCTCTTGTATCCAAACATTCCGTAAACACGTGTTTGTTTCTGTCTCCTCCCCTTTCCCTCCTTGTCATAGTTGCATAGGATTGCGATATTCATAATGCTGTTTATCATATTTCTGCCCAATGGTTCTTATCAACAAGTGTTCGCCTCTTTGTTTTTGGCGCCAATCAGTCTTTAAAATCATACAACAAACACATATTTGTTCCTGTCTCTTCCTATTTAACTCCTTATCATAGTTGCATAAGATTGCGATTTTCATTATGATCCTTATCATATTTCTCCCCAATAGTTCTTATCAACAAAAAATCATACAAAACCATGCTTCTGCCGCTGACCATTTTTATCGATACAATTGTTGCATGCATGTTGTTGCTGTTATTCCCTATAGTCCGTAAACTTTGTTTCCCATATTTGTCTCCCTTCCCCTTGTAAACATTTCGGTAAGCTCCGCGCATGCCCACATAGTTTGCCATTCACAACGGACACACGCACACACATTGCCATAATCATGGTCAAGAGCGCGCCCACACATGTCGATCAACATAGTTTGCGAACGGAGACACAAACACATATACATAAATTGACATACTCAGAACGGAGGATCACACACACACATACATAAATTGCCATACTCAGAACGAAGGATCACACAAACACACACACTATTTGTAAACAAAAGCGCACGTGTCCACACATACACGGACAGACAGACGATTTGTTTACTGTAATTTAATACTTTAATGAGTTTTTTACCATTTTAATGGCTTTTGGCTAATCCTTTGTATTTTAAACCCTACATCCATATTCTACATATTCTATAATAATTCCAAAACTCCGGTATTTCTAGAAAAAAGCCAATAGTTTTGTAGACCTCAGAAAATATTCTATAAAAATCCTCTACCATTGCTAGGCCTCCACAAATATTCTTTTATACATTCCAATCCCTTTGTAGGCCTCAACAAATATTCCATAAAAATTCCCATCAATATTCTATACAAATTCTAATCGTTGGTAGACCCTAAAAAATATCCTATAAAAAATTAACAAGGCATCGGTAGACTTCAAAAAATATTCTAACTAATTTTCAAAGTTTCGATAGCCCTTAGAAATATTCTAAAATAACTGCATGTCTTTGGTCCAACAAAACATATTTTATAAAACTGTCGAGGTATTGGTAGGCTTCACAAAATCGTCTTAAAGACTTCCAAGCTCTTTTTAGGCCTCAAAATATATTCTAAAAAAATTACAAACCTGCTATAAGCCTTTTAACAATGTAGAAACATATTTTATAAGAATTCCATGACATGGGTTGGTTGGTTTTAGAAATATTCCTTCATAATTTCAAGGCTACGAAAGGCCTAAAAAATTTTTCGATAAAAATTACGACGCTTAAATTATATTTTTGAAAATGATCCACAAAAATATTCTTTAACCAGTGAGCGGAGCAGTATAGTCGGACGGGGCCGATATGATATGATACACTACACAACTTCCACGATGTTTCGCGATAGAGGCCGACAATTATTACTAATATTCAGTACAGCCCTTCTAATTACTTGTCCAGATTCCCTTCCCTTGTGTTATGATGTTCTTATTCCCATTGGAGCCTATAGATCGACTCGAAAAAACACAAAAAATTAAGTTTTCGGTCCACTTCATCACAATATAATTATCTGATCGTCACCGAAATCCTTGATCATAACTGGAACTTCATGGAACATTTTAAAGCGATCAGCGCTATGTTTCCGCCCTTTAGTGTGGTAAAGGGTTACTAAATAATATCTGAATACATAAGCACCTGTAAATATTTAAGTGTAACTCCCACATATGAGTACATTTCAATTTAAGGTCAACCACTGCCCTTGGATTTACCAACAACTTTTCGGGTCTATGTCCTTCAGTGTTAAATCTATACGCTATAGAATACAAATTTTCTATACAAATGTGAATACAAATTCACACAAAAGTCAGGATTCATTTGACCCGCTAAATATTGGCCGATCCTTATCAAAACAGGCATGCTTATTCTTTGGCCCACAATCCCCTTCTCCACGTAAAACTTCGAGATGTTTGGGTCATAATTGCGGCCTCTAGAGCGACCAGAAAAACCGTTAAAAATTAAGTATCCCCTAGATATTAACCGATCTTTACCAAAAACAATAGGTGTCTTCATTGGCCAGAACCCATCCTACATACAAAATTTCGTGAAGATTGGTCCATAACTGTGGCCTGTATCGTGTTTACAAAATATAATGGACTGACGTTCGGACGGACACACATGTCTAGATCGACTCAGCTAGTCGAGATCGGTATACTTAAAGGTGGGTCTAGGACCCATATTTCGCGTCGTTACAAACTCTTGGAGCTGCACAAAGCTATAATACCATGACAACATAGTTGTGTAGGGTATAAAAATGCACACCTTCAGGTGGAGCCAAAAATATATAAAAATCTCGGAAGGCCTAAAATGACTCCATAAAAATTCCTAAGCTTTGGTATGCCTCGAAAAATATTGCGTACCATTTCCAAGGCTTCGGTGACCTTCAAAAAATATTCTTTAAAAATGCATGGTAGGCTTAAAAAATATTCTTTAAGAATTCCCTGTATTTGGTAGGCCTAAAAAATAGTATTTAATATTTAAAAGACTTCGGAAAGTCTAAACAAAATTTTCGTTCGTTTGGTAGGCCAATGACCTTTCTTAAGACCCAAATAATATTCCATAAATTTTCCAAAGTCTTCAAAAAATATTCTATAAGATATCCACGACTTTGGTAGATTCAAAAAAATCTATAATAATTCTTAGGCTTTAAAAGGCCTCAACATATATTAAATAAAAACCCATAATTAAAAACCCATAGTCTGTAGTATTTGTAGGAAATTTATGAGGCCCTTAGTACCTAAAGCCGGTCATGTGCACATTTACTACTCAAAATTATCTTTGAGAAATGCCATGGATTTCTTATCAGAATTCTCTGTAATAACTCCTTTTCTTCTCTCTAATTCTAATTCTCACAAATTTGAGCGATCCATGTATTCCTCTTATCACCTCGTTATGAATCAAATTGTAAGAGATAATAATCATAATCATTTTCAAAAATCAGCTGTGAATAGGCCGACGATAACATACAATACCAAATGATAAGACCCACGAGCACTTGTCATAATCATTTATGATAAATAGATAGCAATGGAACAACACGGCAATTGCTACTTAGCATCTGCTACCCGTGAAGCCCCATATTGTATCGCCCCGTACCATATAGTATGTAGTTTCTAGAGACGATCGCTAACGGAAGGGAGTAATCATAATCATTTTCAAAAATCATCTGTGAATAGGCCCACGATAACATACAATACCAAATGATAAGACCCACGAACCCTTGTCATAATCATTTATGATAAATAGATAGCAATGGAAGAACGCGGCAATTGCTACTTAGCATCTGCTACCCGTGAAGCCCCATATTGTATCACCCCGTACCAAATAGTATGTAGTTTCTAGAGACGATCGCTAACGGAAGGGAGTAGGTGTTTATTAACTTATAACCCTGCTCCCGCTTTAATGATTATTTTTGCACAACAAAATGAAAATATCATAAAGATCAGTACACGCTCACTAATATGAAATCCTGTGTACGTGTCTGGTAGATTATTTTTATTATTATTTATGAGAATATTTATTTAATATTAACGTATATTTTTACAATTAAATATTCATTGTAAATGAGATCCATTTTTACCATCTCTTTGAGAGACCCACATTCAGACCATTTACCGGTACCAAAACGGGTGCTGTATTAAATTTAAATTCAGCTTCTTTACGAGGCATCGGTTCGATATTGAAATTGGCTAAGATTTTGGCCAGGGCAACCTTCGAATTCATCACTTCCATTCGCTGGGCTGCAACAAAAAGGAAAAATACAAGGAACATTGGTTAGAAATTTCGAAAGTGGACCTTAAAACTGTATTCCTTAAAAACTCCCCGCCTCAAATGGGCCTGTATTCATTAAAAACTCCAGGACTCAAATGGATTTGTACTCTTTAAAAACTTCAGGACTCAAATGGGTAATGAAAAATATTCTTTAAAACTCCACGACTAAGGTAGGCCTTGAAAAAATATTCTTTAAAAACTCCACGCCTAAGGTAGGCCTTGAAAAAATATTCTTTAAAAAATCCACGCCTAAGGTAGGCCTTGAAAAAATATTCTTTAAAAAAATCCCCGCCTATGGCAGGCCTTGAAAAAATATTGCTTGAAAAAATCCACGCCCTCGGTTAGCCTTGAAAAAAATATTCTTTAAAAAAATCCACGCCCTCGGTTAGACTTGAATAAATATTCTTTAAAAAAATCCCCACCTTTGTTTAGTCTTGCAAAAATATTTTTTAAAAAGATCCCCGCCTTTGTTTAGCCTTGAAAAAATATTCTTTAAAACGTCCACGCCTAAGGTAGGCCTTGAAAAAATATTCTTTAAAAAGTCCACGCCTAAGGTAGGCCTTAAAAAAATATTCTTTAAAAAGTCCACGCCTATGGTAGGCCCTGAAAAAATATTCTTTAAAAAATCCACGCCTATATTGGCCCTGGAAAAAATTTGAAAAAATCCACGCCCTCATTAAAAAAAATCTTTAAAAAATCCCCGCCTTTGGTTAGCCTTGAAAAAATATTCTTTAAAAAATCCCCGCCTTTGGTTAGCCTTGAAAAAATATTCTTTAAAAATTCCACGCCCTTGGTTAGCCTTGAAAAAATATTCTTTAAAAAATCCCCGCCTTTGGTTAGCCTTGAAAAAATATTCTTTAAAAAATCCACGCCTGTATTGGCCCAGGAAAAAATAATCTTTAAAAAATCCACGCCTTGGGTGAGCCTGGAAAAAATATTCTTTGAAAAAAGCCACGCCCTCGGATAGCCTGGAAAAAATATTCATTAAAAAATCCACGCCTTGAGTGAGTCTTAAAAAAAAAATCTTTAAAAATCCACTCCTTGGGTGAGCCTTGAAAAAATATTCTTTAAAAAATCCACTGCTTGAGTGAGCCTTGAAAAAATATTCTTTAAAAATCTACGCCTGAAATGAACCTTGAAAAATATTCCTCAAAAAACCTCGCCTGTTTCCATGTGTTCTTAAAAAAATATTCTCTAAAAACCATTCATCCTTCTTACCTATACAATGCCTTGGTCCCTCTCCAAATGGCATATATGCCGTTGGATCATAATCCTTGCTTTCTTCGGCAAAACGTTCTGGCCTATACTCCATGGGATTGGGAAAATATTTTGCATCTCTGTGTAAACCCAAAAGGGATATAATAATTCCTGTATCCTTTTTTATGGTTAAATTTGATCCGGGTATTTTAAAATCCTGGGTACATTTGCGATTCAAAAAGGGGAGGTCAGGATATTTGCGGGTGGTTTCTAGAAAAAAAGGTATAAATAAATTTTTTTTAATTAAATTGAACTGTCCTGCCCTTACCCTTAACACACAAATCCAAATATTTCATATCCTGTATGGCCTCATAGGTCAGCCGGCTCTCCGGCTTGAGATTGTGTTTCCTCAAACATTCATCTACTTCGTTTTGAACCTTTTTCAAAATTTCAGGATTCATGGCCAATTCATAAATTGTAAATGAAGTACTGGAGGCTGTGGTCTCCGATCCAGCTATATAGAATAGGAATGCATTTGAGGCAATCATATCAATGGACATTGATTTAAGATTTGTAGCTGCGGATTCTACTTTTTTCCAAAGGTTATCATTATCATCGGATATTTTACCAGTATTCCGCAATTGAATTAATAATTGTAGTAGATCTTTGCGTATCACATTATTTTCTTCACGGAATTCAATGGTGTCTTTGACAATGTCACGCAGGCGATAGATGACCGGTTCGATTGTACCAAGGCGGGTTAACAGTTTGGCAATGCTGGAATTGGAATATAGAGGGGGAAGATATATTAAAAATATATTTTTTGAATTTTTTGAAAAATCGTAATTTGGCGAAAAATCCGCCACTGTTTTGTGTATCCTAATGGGAGTCATACTCACGGTGGACATATAAAATTGGTTAAATTCCGGAATCTATTCATAAAACTATTGTTCTCATTGTTAAACAACAGATCGCTCTGCACCCGAAATTCATTGTCCGGCTGGCTGAAGCTATCGACTTCCAGGCCAAATATTACCGAACCAATGATGTCAATGGCAAAGCTGGAAACAAATTCAAAATATTTTAAAATAAAATTCTCTTAATTCAAAATTTCAAAATACTTACGTGGTCAGAATACTTTTTACATCCAAAATATGCGTTTTACCATCCTCCAATTGATCGTTCAAATACGTTCTCAATTTCTCCGCCACATCATCGACAGTCTCAAACATTGCCTTCAATTTACCCGACGAAAAAGAGGGTGTCAGTTTCGTTCTCAACGAACGCCATGATTGACCCTCCAAGGCAAAGATATTTGCTGACATTGGATCATTTTTCTCATCCACATAAATACCACGATCATGAAAGCTATTAAAATCGGAAGTTAAAATTTGCCGTCCCAATTCGGCATCTCGTATCAAGAGCGCTGGACGGAAGAATAAATAAATCCCAACAACTTTCGATTGGAATTTTTCATAGACATCGGCCATCAATAATCCAAAGGGTAGCTCCTTGCGGTAAACTTTACTCAATGTACCAAAGGGTATTACTGCTTCGGCGGATTCAAATCCCAAACGTTTCCATTGGGAGTAGTGGCGTTTTAAAAATAGCCACAGGGTGGTAACTGCGATTATTAAAATTACCAAAAACAATTTTTTGTTTATTTATTTTTTTAATATTTTTTTTCACTGGTGGTCTAGCTGAGTACGAATTTTTTAATAACTGAATTATTAGATGATTAAAAAAATACATGGTAAACTTTTGCGACACGCCAAAATGTCTTATCTTTCGAATTTGTTCTTCCGAAAAACCAGGCTATCTGCCACACGACTCGATTTTTGCCTACGAAGCATGACAATGCAATCACAAATTATAGTTTTAATTGTTTGGGGCCATATCAGCGGATCAGCCCATTAGGCCTTATCTTGACGTATTAAATTAATCTGAATTTAAATAATAATTTTATTAAAAAAAATAAAACATCTGTTTAATTACACAGGGGAACAACAAAATTTTTTTCAAGGGCCACCGACAGTCGTGGATTTTTTAAAGAATATTTTTTCAAAGGCCATTACAGGCTTCGATTGTTAAAGAATATTTTTTAAAAGCCTACCAGAGGCGTGTGGATTTTTTAAAGAATTTTTTTTTCAAGGCCTACCATAGGAATGGATTTTTTAAATAATATTTCTCAAAGCCTACCTTGGCGTGGTTTTTTTAAATAAAATTTTTCAAAGGCTTAACACAAGGAGTGGATTTTTTAAATAAAATTTTTCAAGGCTTAACACAAGGCGTGGATTTTTTAAATAAAATTTTTCAAGGCTTAACACAAGGCGTGGATTTTTTAAATAAAATTTTTCAAGGCTTAACACAAGGCGTGGATTTTTTAAATAAAATTTTTCAAGGCTTAACAGAAGGCGTGGATTTTTTAAATACAATTTTTCAAGGCTTAACACAAGGCGTGGATTTTTTAAATAATATTTTTCAAGGCTTAACACAAGGCGTGGATTTTTTAAATAAAATTTTTCAAGGCTTAACACAAGGCGTGGATTTTTTAAATAAAATTTTTCAAGGCTTAACACAAGGCGTGGATTTTTTAAATAAAATTTTTCAAGGCTTAACAGAAGGCGTGGATTTTTTAAATACAATTTTTCAAGGCTTAACACAAGGCGTGGATTTTTTAAAGAATATTTTTCAAGGCTTAACACAAGGCGTGGATTTTTTAAAGAATATTTTTTCAAGGCTTAACACAAGGCGTGGATTTTTTAAAGAATATTTTTAAAGGCCTGCCAGAGGCGAGGATTTTTTAAAGAATATTTTTTCAAGGCTTAACACAAGGCGTGGATTTTTTAAAGAATATTTTTTCAAGGCTTAACACAAGGCGTGGATTTTTTAAAGAATATTTTTCAAGGCTTAACACAAGGCGTGGATTTTTTAAAGAATATTTTTCAAGGCTTAACACAAGGCGTGGATTTTTTAAAGAATATTTTTCAAGGCTTAACACAAGGCGTGGATTTTTTAAAGAATATTTTTTCAAGGCCTAACACAAGGCGTGGATTTTTTAAAGAATATTTTTTCAAGGCCTAACACAAGGCGTGGATTTTTTAAAGAATATTTTTCAAGGCCTAACACAAGGCGTGGATTTTTTAAAGAATATTTTTTCAAGGCCTACCATAGGCGTGGATTTTTTAAAAAATATTTTTTCAAGGCCTACCATAGGCGTGGATTTTTTAAAAAAATATTTTTTCAAGGCCTAACACAAGGCGTGGATTTTTTAAATAATATTATTCAAGGCTTGACACAAGGCGTGGATTTTTTAAATAATATTTTTCTAGGCTTAACACAAGGCGTAAATTTTTTAAATAATATTTTTCAAGGCTTAACATAAGGCGTAGATTTTTTAAAGAATATTTTTTCAAGGCCTACCATAGGCGTGGATTTTTAAAGAAAATTTTTTCAAGGCCTACAATAGGCGTGGATTTTTTTTTTAAAGAATATTTTTTCAAGGCCTAACACAAGGCGTGGATTTTTTAAATAATATTATTCAAGGCTTAACACAAGGCGTAAATTTTTTAAATAATATTTTTCAAGGCTTAACACAAGGCGTAGATTTTTTAAATAAAATTTTTCAAGGCTTAACACAAGGCGTGGATTTTTTAAATAAAAATTTTCAAGGCTTAACACAAGGCGTGGATTTTTTAAATAAAATTTTTCAAGGCTTAACACAAGGCGTGGATTTTTTAAAGATTATTTTTCAAGGCTTAACACAAGGCGTGGATTTTTTAAAGATTATTTTTCAAGGCTTAACACAAGGCGTGGATTTTTTAAAGATTATTTTTCAAGGCTTAACACAAGGCGTGGATTTTTTAAAGATTATTTTTCAAGGCCTAACACAAGGCGTGGATTTTTTAAAGAATATTTTTTCAAGGCCTAACACAAGGCGTGGATTTTTAAAGAATATTTTTCAAGGCTTAACACAGGGCGTGGATTTTTTAAAGAATATTTTTCAAGGCTTAACACAAGGCGTGGATTTTTTAAAGAATATTTTTCAAGGCTTAACACAGGGCGTGGATTTTTTAAAGAATATTTTTCAAGGCTTAACACAAGGCGTGGATTTTTTAAAGAATATTTTTCAAGGCTTAACATAAGGCGTGGATTTTTTAAAGAATATTTTTCAAGGCTTAACATAAGGCGTGGATTTTTTAAAGAATATTTTTCAAGGCTTAACATAAGGCGTGGATTTTTTAAAGAATATTTTTCAAGGCTTAACACAGGGCGTGGATTTTTTAAAGAATATTTTTCAAGGCTTAACACAAGGCGTGGATTTTTTAAAGAATATTTTTCAAGGCTTAACATAAGGCGTGGATTTTTTAAAGAATATTTTTCAAGGCTTAACATAAGGCGTGGATTTTTTAAAGAATATTTTTCAAGGCTTAACATAAGGCGTGGATTTTTTAAAGAATATTTTTCAAGGCTTAACACAAAGCGTGGATTTTTTAAAGAATATTTTTCAAGGCTTAACAAAAGGCGTGGATTTTTTAAAGAATATTTTTCAAGGCTTAACACAAGGCGTGGATTTTTTAAAGAATATTTTTCAAGGCTTAACACAAGGCGTGGATTTTTTAAAGAATATTTTTCAAGGCTTAACACAAGGCGTGGATTTTTTAAAGAATATTTTTCAAGGCTTAACACAAGGCGTGGATTTTTTAAAGAATATTTTTCAAGGCTTAACACAAGGCGTGGATTTTTTAAAGAATATTTTTCAAGGCTTAACACAAGGCGTGGATTTTTTAAAGAATATTTTTCAAGGCTTAACACAAGGCGTGGATTTTTTAAAGAATATTTTTCAAGGCTTAACACAAGGCGTGGATTTTTTAAAGAATATTTTTTCAGGCTATGGTTTTTTAAGAATATTTCACAAGTACACAATTTGTTTCACAACATATAATTTGGCCAAATTTTCCTCAGAATTATTATTATTTTTTTTTTGCAAATTTTTCTACTTTAATGTTTTGCATAATTACCTTATTTGTTGCAAAAATTCATAACGACATTCTAGCAACACCACTTCTAAGTGGAACAGCTCATTTAAGATTATTAACACTTTCTTTGATTTACACCCTACCCCGCAAGTTTGGCATCATAAAAGAGAACGCTAAGCCCCTAATTGTTCCATTATGAATACTTCAAACTTTCAAAAGTAGCCATTAAAACAAAACGGCCATAATTTGTAAGGAAATTGCTCTAAATTCTTGGGATGGCATTTCTTAAATGCGACCGCACAAAATAAGTACTTCCACAACTACTTTTGCTCTGCGGCCACTTGACGTCGTCGTCAACAAATTATGTGATTAACACTGCGTCACCAGCACCGCCACCACTACTACTTCCGTCGAGACGAACGACATCAAGCGGCTAAGAAGAATTTTACAATCTTCTTGGAGAAGTGTAAGTTTTTTCTTTTCTTCTTTTTGTTTTTGGTTTGAGGTATCAAATTACCATTTTGTTGTTCGTTCTTTTTTACATCCTCTTAATTTGGCTGAGAACTATTCTCGGTAGGCAGACGTGACCCTGTAGTTGTGGGAAAACAAATTTTGTAAATGAAGTAATTTTGAAAACATTATCCATTGAATTTTTTTGTGGCGATTTGTAATTGAGGGAGGGATAAAGGGAGGGAGAAAATATGATGTGTAATTTGTTTTTAAATAATTTCTTATGATGTGAGATTTTTTCAATGGTTTCTATATGATAGGAGACAGAGGTTTTCAAAATGTAGAAGACAAAGGTCTACGTTAGATATAAGGTCAGGGCCTTCGGAGCCTATAAAAATCCATGCCTTTAATAGACCTTGAAAAAATATTCTTTAACAAATCCATGCCTGTCAAGGCCTTGAAAAAATATTCTTAAAAAATCCACGCCTATATTAGGCCTTGGAAAACTATTCTTTAACAAATCTATGCCTTGTGTTAGGCCTTGAAAAAATATTCATTAAAAAAAAATTCTAAAAAATCCATGCCTTGTGTTAGGCTTTGAAAAAAATATACTTTAAACCATTGAGCGGACCAGTATAGTCGGACTGGGCCGACCATACGATACCCTACAAAACTACCATGGAACTCCAACTGTCTGCAGATTTTTATTCCGACCCTGGGCAATATTTTGTGATAGTTGCACCCTCTTACCGGATTAGAGGTCAAGAGTACCTCTTCCTTACACTGATATATTTTCCGAATATTTGCTGCTTATAGTTGTGGCCTCGAATGAAAAAAAAACACAAGAAATTAAGTTTCCTGTCCACTTCATCTCGAAATTATTATCTGATCATTACCGAAAATTATAGGCGTTGTTCTTAACCATAACGGGAACCTCATGGAATATTTCCAAGCGATCAGCGCTATATTTCCGCCCTCCAATGTGTTCCTAAATAATATCTGAACACATAAGCACCTGTAAATATTTACCTGTAACTCCTACATCCTAGTACATACGACAATATAATTGGTGTCAATTTAAAGGCCAACCACTCCTCTTGGATATTCTGTCAACTTCTACGTCCCTCAGGAGTAAATATATACGCCATAGAATACAGATTTTGTAATTTTTCGCACAAAAGTCAGGGTCCATTTGACCCGCTAAATATTGGCCGATCTGTATCAAAACAGACATGATTATTCTTTGACCTTCTTTGTTCGGGCCATAATTGCGACCTCTGGGGCGGCCAGAAAAAACAACAAAAATTAAGCATTTGGTCCATTTCATCCCCTAAATATTAACCGATCTTTAGCAAAAACAATAGGGGTCTTCATTGGCCAGAACTGGTCCTACATGCAAAATTTCGTGAAGATTGGTCCATAACTCTAGCCTGTATCGTATAGACAAAGGGACGGACGGACACACATGTCTAGATCTTCTCAGCTAGACGAGATATGACGATCGGTTTACTTAAAGGTGGGTCTTGGACCAATATTTCGCGGCGTTACAAACTCTTGGGGCTGCACAAAGCTATAATACCCTGACAACATAGTTGTGTAGGTTATAAAATCTACGCCTTGGTTAGGCCTTAAAAATATTCTCTTTAAAAAATTCACGCCATAGGTGAACCCTTGAAAAAAATATTCTTTAAAAAATCCACGTGGACCCTTAAAAAATATTCTTTAAAAAATCCACGCCTTAGGTGGACCCTTAAAAAATATTCTTTAAAAAATCCACGCCTTAGGTGGACCCTTAAAAAATATTCTTTAAAAAATCCACGCCTTAGGTGGACCCTTGAAAAAAAGATTCTTTAAAAAATCCACGCCTTAGGTGAACCCTTGAAAAAAAGATTCTTTAAAAAATCCACGCCTTAGGTGGACCTTTGAAAAAAAGATTCTTTAAAAAATCCACGCCTTAGGTGGACCTTTGAAAAAAATATTCTTTAAAAATACACGCCTATGGTAAGCCTTGAAAAATATTCTTTAAAAAATCCACGCCTCTGGTAGGCCTTGAAATTGTTCTCTAAAAATTCGCGCCTGTCTAAGGCCTTGAAAAAATATTTTTAATTTTTTTTCGAAAATCTCTCTATTCAATTTTACATAAATCAAATCATTGTTGAATGAAATTGTGTTAGAACAGAAAATCAGTTTAAAGTTTAAAAATACACATAAAACAACAACAATAAACCTTTACTCAAGTTCGAGTTCATAATAAAATTCACATTGACATGTAAATTGACAAGAATCCGGAGAAGAAGAAAACAACAACACAAATTTTCCCATCTTTATTTTTGAGTATAAAAATTTACCAACAACAACGAATTTTATTGTTTGTTATTTAATTATAGTCGATCCCCATGCCATTTAAGTAATGTTCCGCATCTGACATGTGCATATACATATTTATTTAGCATGTCATGAGAAAGTTTGTATTTTATTTTCAATTTAGAACTCAATATGACGACAGCTAAGATGACAAGCTATATAAAGTAGTTAATTAGTCAAGAATTGGCAGTGTGTCTTGCTTTTAATTAGTGTCATTCGCAGAGTAGAGGCAGAGAGGAAAACCGAAGATGATTATGACGACTTAAGAAAGAAGTGGCAGATTTTTTATTGTGGAAGCTGACATGAAAGTTGATTTTGTGTATTTTTCTTTTTGCAAAAAGGAAATAAAAATATAATTTGGTAAGGTGAAGAAAACTTGTAGCGAAAGGTAAACGATGAGATGGACTTTTTAATACTCTGCTCATTAGACATGAGCATGCCATTAAGTATCTGACTTAAAATTAATTGAAGAGCTTTAAAATATTATATGAAGAAAGTGCATAAAGAATTCGAAAATATTTCTGAGACCCTACCAGCTTATTGTTTTTGTTCATGGAAAATAATGGAATATTTTTTCAAGGCCTACCTTAGGCGTGGATTCTTTAAAGAATATTTTTTCAAGGCCTACCGTAGGCGTGGGTTCTTTAAAGAATATTTTTTCAAGGCCTACCTTAGGCGTGGATTTTTTAAAGAATATTTTTTCAAGGCCTACCTTAGGCGTGGATTTTTTAAAGAATATTTTTTCAAGGCCTACCTTAGGCGTGGATTCTTTTAAGAATATTTTTTCAAGGCCTACCTTAGGCGTGGATTCTTTTAAGAATATTTTTTCAATATCGTGGATTCTTTTAAGAATATTTTTTCAATATCGTGGATTTTTAAAAAAATGTTTTTTCAATATCGTGGATTTAAAAAAAAATATTTTTTTAAGATAGTGGATTTTTTAAAAAACAAATTTTTCAAGATCGTAGATTTTTTAAAAAATACTTTATCAAAATCGTGGATTTACCACAGGCGTGGATTTTTTAAAAACAAATTTTTCGTGGTGTACCGACGCTTTGATGAGTATTCAAAAAATTCTTTAAAAATCTAAGCCTAGGACCTCGAGGACTTAAAAAAATATTCTTTAAAAAATCTAAGCCTAGTACCTCGAGGACTGCAAAAAATATTCCTTAAAAATCTATGCCTAAGACCTTGAGGACTTCAAAAAATATTCTTTAAAAAATCTATGCCTAGGACCTTTTTAAAAAATCTAAGCCTAGGACCTCTTTAAAAAATCTAAGCCTAGGAACTCGAGGACTTCAAAAAATATTTTTTAAAAAATCTAAGCCTAGGACCTCTTTAAAAAATCTAAGCTTAGGACCTCGAGGACTAAAAAAAAATATTCTGTAAAAATCTAAGCCTAGGACCTCTTTAAAAAATCTACGCCTTGATAGGTCTTCAAAAAATATTCATTAGAAAATCTACGCCTTGATAGGTCTTCAAAAAATATTCATTAGAAAATCTACGCCTTGATAGGTCTTCAAAAAATATTCATTAGAAAATCTACGCCTTGATAGGTCTTCAAAAAATATTCTTTAGAAAATCTACGCCTTGATAGGTCTTCAAAAAATATTCTTTAGAAAATCTACGCCTTGATAGGTCTTCAAAAAATATTCTTTAGAAAATCTACGCCTTGATAGGTCTTCAAAAAATATTCTTTAGAAAATCTACGCCTTGATAGGTCTTCAAAAAATATTCTTTAGAAAATCTACGCCTTGATACGTCTTCAAAAAAATTCATAAAAAAATCATAAAAAGATTCATAAAAAGATCTTCAAAATTATTTTTTAAAAAATCCGTTTTTTTTTCTTAAGACTAATCCTCCCTTTTTCTTCTTCTACCATTTCAGATGTCCTATATGAATACACGACGCCGTCTCGGCTCCGTTAGCGACTCTGTGCCACCCTCCGAATCCTCAGAGGGTACAAATTCATCGGAAAACAATGACATGATGATTATGAATACAGAATGGTCTCATGGTTCACAGAATAGTGGCTGTGGTGGTGGCGGTAGTGGTGGTGGTGCTAGTGCCGGTGTCAACTCCCTCTATTCCGAAGGTGACACCGATACCCTAAGTACAGATACGGCCAGCAATAATATTCTATCCGATTATGAACGTGGTCAAGTTGAAAGTTTCTTTGGCGGCTTGGGTACGGAAATTTTCGTCAGCTCTGCCTTGGCTAATCTCTACGAAGGTACCGGTAAGGATAATGATTGGCATTTAATATTCACGGGAATTCCAGTTATCCTCTATGATAAGGGATCGGCACGTGCAAGAGCTATACCACGTGTTACCTTGGTGTTGGCTGAACGTGGTTCATGTTTTGCCCTCTGGTCAGATCGTATTGATAATCTGTCGAATTATCGTGTGGCTGGTCCATCGTTTCACACAATGTGTTTGTCGACCAATCATCAGCAGATGATCGGCTTCAGTTTTGATTCATCGGAGGCGGCCCGGGAGTTGTGGCTGCATTTGGAACGTTTAATCAGTGACCCAGAGAATATTGCCCTGTCGATGCCGGGCCGCAAGAAACCCAAACAGAAACGTATTAAACACGCCCCACTACCACCCAAGGCACAAATTTCCCATCCATGTCAATTTCATCATGTGACCAGTGTCACGAAGGAGGACACCGATCGTTACTACAGTATGCAGGCATTTGCGCCCATGAGTCATCATTAGATATGGTTCGAGAGTCAAGTCCATAAATTGAATTCGAAAGGGGTGTGCAAATAAAAAAACAATTAAAAAATTTAATTTAATTTTTAAAATTGAAAAACAACAAAAACAAATCAAGCATCATAGTCTTAAGTGAGTACACTTTAAAATATGCAAAAACAAAAAAACAACAACAACAATATTTATATATAAATTATTTAATTTGATTTATATAATAAAATATTTATCTGTGATATACTTACAAACAAACAAAAAACACTCGAGCATACAGTTATAGCAAAAAAGGGAAATAAGAAAAAAATTGAAAATGTATTTTTTTAATTTAGTTTTTTTTTTATTCGTTGTTAAATATTTGTTTCGTTTCTAAAATAAATATAATAACAAAAACAATTAGTCTTAAATTTAAGAGAAAAAAAAATTAAATCAAATTTAAGAGTAATTTAGTATATACATATTAAATATTATTATTGTTTAATTTTTGTAATAAATTTTTAATATCCTTAAAAAATTTAATGAAAACGAAGCCATTTTTTAATGGGTGTCCAAAAATGTTTTGGATAAAAGTTAAATTTATTATGTCGCCCTGTTACACACTTCCATGCAGAATGAAAGAAAAATATTAATTAATTTAAATAAGTTGATTTTTTCTTAATAAATATAAAAAAATAAAAAATACATCGCAAATAATTTCAGGAAAAATTTTTGATATAAGTCCATATATATGGGATAGCGCTCATATACCAGTTCCGACCCATTTTCCGATTTTTGAAGGTTTTAGGCGCAGTGGCTGTAATTTTGTATTCTCACTCTCGCACTTCTCCACCGAAGTGGCTGTAAATTGACATACCCTGTACTGGTAGGGTGATAAACATTATTACAGAACATTTTTAAAGCGATTACATTTCTCCACTCAATTTCTCCACTGAATTGTTTGTAATGTGGCATTCCGATTTCTTGGAAGGTGAGAAATATCGCTGCCAAAGAATTGTTAATATGTTTCCATATTCTGACGTAGCATCCATATAAATTCCCCGGCCATTTTAGGAATTTTGAAATTTCCCCAACGAAGTGTCTGTAATTTGTCGCTGTAACAATTTTTTTGAAATAAGTCCATGATTTGACATATCCGGCTTCATTTTGGGTATTGTGAAGGTTTTAGCTGCATTGTAATTTTACATTCTGAATTCTTAGAGGACGAGAAGCTACTTTGCAGATTTCAAATGTAGGTCCCATATAAAGGGTGTTTGTAGTTAGAAAGTCTTTTCCGCATTCCGCGTTCTTAGAGAATGAGAACCGTCTTGGCAGAAACATTGGCAAACAGGTTACGCTTAATTTAATTTTCTAATTCAGTTTTCCATCCTTAGTGTCCACCTACTAGCAAAAAATATGCGAAGACATAGTCCTCATATAATAATACCAACCGGTTTAAGAAATTTTGAAGACACTTGGTGGAGATTAGCAAACATTGGCTCTTCGATATTTATGCTCTCAGCCTTCTGGTTATACACTTTTTTACGACAAAAATATGCCCCATCGTAATATTGGTTTTACAGCTCAAGTTTCTTAGGACCATATCCGGTTCAGATAATATGAAGCCCATTTAAAAATGTCCATATGTTTGGTTCGCACAATACCTCTCGAAGGGAGTATTCGACTTCATCTAAACATTCCACATCGTAATATTTCTTCCAAACCAAGATCAAGTTCGAAGATAGGAAATATCGGCTCACTCCTCTGGCACCTCTCAATAAAGTGGTCAAGATTTTTGTTGAAAATGAATTTTTAAATATCAAGTATGCGATTTTTACCAAAGTTTACACAACCGAATATTTCGTAATACGAAGGTCTAAGATGAGGCCCATCGTCTAAATTATCTGGCACCTTCGCCACAAAGTGTCAAAATTTTGAATAAATTTTATCCAATTTCACCCAAACTTTGAACTTCATAATATTTCTACAAAACCCAGAACAATTCTGAAGATGGAGCTCATTTGTGCACTTCATCTGGCACCTCCCCCACAAAATGTCAACATTTGCAATATTTATAAATCCCAGATTAAGTAAATGTAATATCCGATTTTACCAACTCTAAATCAATTCAGAATATTGGATCCATCCGTCCACTCCTTCTCGTAGCTCCCCCACAACGGATCAACATTTTGAAAATTCACATGTGAAGCAAACGGAATATTCAATCTCATCCAAACTTTATATTTTTGCTAAAGGTAGATCAAGTTCACGTCGGAGGATATGTCCCATCGGTCCACACATGCTCGTACTTCGATCCTCCACTAAAGGAGAACATTTGAAAATAAAATATCAAGCGAAACGGGTATCCAATTCAACAACCTAAACTTACCAAAAAGATAAATGCCGTTGATAGGACCAACGAGCCAACTTACTCTGGTAACTCCCCCAGTATAATTTCACATGAAGCGAATGTAGTATCCAAGTTGATCAATTGATTGATCGATATTTTTAACCATATCCTACATTAAATTCGAAAATAATGTTAATTGGGCCACTTATTTTGATAACTCCCCACAGACGATCGACATTTCGGTAAAATGTATTCCTAATAAAAATCGAATGGGTAATATTTCGCGATATTTGTAGTCCCTTCGCCGATTAGAGGTCAACAGCTCCTCTTCGGCATATTTTCCGAATCATGTATTCCCGGAATAAACATTTACTCCATATTAATATAATTTTGTTATTTTACAGGTCATTTGACCACCTTAATACTGAACTTCAAGACAGGTATTCAAATTGCTATCAACTTCTCTGGTCTATGTCCTTCAGGACTAAGAATACAAATTCTGTCATATTTCACACAAAAGTCTGGGTCAATCTGACCCTCTAAATATTGACCGATCTTTATCAAAACAATCATGCATATTCTAGGGTCAGATCTCTTTCGCTGTGTAAAATCCAGAACCGGTACTATATACACAATTTCGTAAAGAATGGTGCATGACTGAAGTCTGTATTGTGTTTGCAAATAATAATGGACAGACGGACGGACGGACACACATGCCTAGTTCGACTCAGCTAGTCGAGATATGACGACTCTCAGTCTATGTTTAAAATAGAAAACGTGTTCTATGTATTCCGCAATAGAAAAATTTCGATAATTCGATATCGTTGGAGTTTTCCCATAAATAGGGCATGTTTTGGTAGATCATCGCCTGAAATTATAAAAAGTCTTTTTGTAGGGCATTCTAAAATTTCGATAGAAGATTTTTTTTACTGAAGGATAAGTCATAAATAATTTCAACATCTTTTTTGGAGGGATTTCAAATTGAGAAAAAAAAAATTCCACAATGTTCAAGGAAATATTTTTCGTTAAATGAAATTGGAAAGCCTTGTGGAGAGTCTTGCCGATATTTATTTCTGAGGTCTTCACAGCCCCTCTACACATATATGTCATTAGGAAGCCAATTATCGAAGTTTTAATACATTTATTAAGAACTTTACACACTTATGGGGGGAAATAGTTTACATCGAATAGAATTAGAAAGCCATCCTTATAAAGAGAGTCTTAAAGATATTATCTCTCTGATGTCTTCAGAGCTCTTCTCCACATAGATGCCATTGGAAGTCAACTATCGAAGGTTCAAGACCTTTTTATGAGGACTTACCTTTGTAAAAACTTATTTCATTACAAAAGTATTCTGAGGTATTTTATGGATAGAATACCTCATAATGATTTTTTGCTCGTTTTTGACAAGACTTGTAGATATTGCAGATAATTGGGGGTGCCCTCTGCTGTTAAAAAGTCCCTGGCGAACCTGATATAGAACATAATATTGTATAGATGTCATCTAAAGTCCCATCCTCAAATGTGTGGCAATTATTTCAGAAGTCTACCATAGATGGAAAACATTTATGAGGTCGTCATTCGATAAAAGGGCTTCCAGAGGCCTTCATTTATAACGTAAACCAATTATATGGTCACTTTTAAATTTTAGACAATTTCTTCCGGTAACGTGAGAACTTCGAATAGTCGCAAGAGACATTTTTGATTTTTTTTTCACTTTTATACATACATTTTGGTACACCCTGTATATTTGTTTCTAACCACAAAACTTTATATATATTTTATTATATTATCATTTTATACAAAATTATTAAAATTCAAATAAATATTTTAACCATAGTTGATAGTACCTACTGTGAACGTCTTAATTTATTTCTAATACTTAGCATCTTAGTCAGTGTGCTAATAATATGTCCATATTTTGAAACTAACAACAACAATTAAAAATATCTAATATTACTTTTGTTATTAGTTGTAGTTATTTTCTTTCAAAGAATTTTTATTACCATTACTATTATTTAAGAATTTAAGTCAATTTATCAAATAAGTCAATGGTCGGTCACATATTTAAAAATTAACAACTATAATAGTACATATAAAGTTTTTTATTATTATAATTAGTATTTAGAGTGAAAATAAAATTGTTGTTTTATTTTATTCGTTTGCTAAATGTATATATACACAACAATGATTACACAAAACTATTGATGTAATTAAGAAATAAAATTAATTTTTAATGACATTTTTTTAATAATAATATCTTAGTCGTAATGTGTAATAACATTTATATATAAATTATATCATTAAATAATATGCGAAAAAATAATATTAAATAAAATTTACGAAAATGTCTTAAACCAAAAGTAGAACATTGTTTGAATTTTAATATATTGAAAATAGGTTGTGGTATGTATGGAAAATAAAAGTAGAATAACAAATATATTGAAAAATTATTTTTTACAAATCCACGCCTATATCTGGTCTTGAAAAAAATATATTTTTAGAAATCCACGCCTATATTTGGTCTTGAAAAAAATATATTTTTAGAAATCCACGCCTAAATCTGATCTTGAAAACGTATTTTATACAAATCCACGCCTATATCTGGTCTTGCAAAAATATTTTTTTACAAAATCTACGCCTTATGAGGACCTAGAAAAACATCCTTTAAAAAATCTACGCC